TAAGCACATGCCATGTAAATCATAAACGAACATCTTCCATTGTTTATTAAAAAGTGAACCACCTTTGTACTTGAACTTGCAGATAATTAAATTCATGAATCAAGAAAGATTAACGAAATATTAATATAGTCCCAACTCCAAAATTATACAATTTATAAAATCCAAAAAGTCAATGGTTTTTACGCAATGTGGTAGATGGCGACATGTTACCTCGTCACTGAAAAAAAGTATACAAATTTAAGGTTTTGAAGAATGTAAGTCTACCGTACACCCACTTTATCTGCAATTAAGCAGAAGGGAAAGGTCATTTTGCCGGGGCAAACTTGATCCCAACGCAATTTACCTGTACCAAATCCAGTTGACAGGCTAAAAGCCGGCATAGGCCCCACTTTTTCATGCATGCAATATACAGACCATTTCGCACCATCCACCATCTGCTATATATAGGCTAAGCAAACTTAGTAAATTTGCGAACAAGAATGGGTTTTACACGATCAGGCAGAATGCAAAGGAGTTTTGTTTCTTCTAGTTGGTTTAGCTTGGCTTTTGCTCTCATCGGAGATTTTCTGCAGGCTCGGCCACTGCCAACATCAGGCGAGGTTTAGATTGGAATATTAGTGTGAATACGTTTACGTCATGCCTACTACCAAAAGGACACATTGGCCACCATCTGGACCTAGCCGCTGTGAATCAAACTGATCGCTGCTTTTCTGCAATTTCTTTTAGGCTATATATTATATATATATATTATAGACACACCACAGCACCCTAGCCAGATAGAGCTATATACTTGATACATTTCTTCTTTTCTACTGTTTTATTTTTTGGTTTTGCTTACTTTTTCCTTTACTTGGCAGAGTAATTACAAATAGTTTTTCTTTTTTTCTCGTTTAAGTTTTGTGATTGAAGGAGAGATGGAAATGTATGTTTAGAGAATCAAAATTTGTGCGTGATTAAAAGTGGATGGGTTGAATTCATTAATTGGATTACTTTGTTGTTTCTTGCATAGTAATTTTCTGCAATTCTTGTTCATAGTACAAGTTTATACCATATTCTTTGAAATTTGAATAAACGACACCCAATCTATGCATTTTATTTTACCATAATTAGAATTAAAATAGAAATATTGAACTCAGTTTCAATACTTAAACCAATATTAGATACTTGAATTTTTGGTGCCTCAACAAGCCAAAATAAATAAGTAAATATTAGTGTAAGTCAGCTATCTATTATGAATCAGAATGAGTTAGTGTAGTTTAATCAACAAATGTTTAAAAGTGAAAGGGGACGACGGAATTCCATTTTCTCTTAATCAAAGGTATTAAATTCGAGTCATGTATATGAATCCGTTCAATATGAGAGAGAGAGAGTATTTTGAACCTCATTTTTTTATTTCCCTGATCAGCAACGAATCCAGATTACTTTTGGGATGTAGCCTTAGAATACAGAATGGTTAAAAAACAAAAAAAACGAGTGGTTAAAAAATAAAACGTTCAACTCAAAGTGGTGAAACTCGGCGAGTCTTTATTAAATTCCACTTCAAAGTTAAACCCCAACCCCGGTTCTGGTTCTCGCTCTCTAACCCGCTTCTGGGCCCCTCAGTCATGCGAGAGGCAATGGAAAATGTTTTTGAAGAGAGAAACTGAAGTTCATTTGTCCACCAAATTGGTTCACACAGGGTCGCTTACAATCTCCAAATCAACTTATATTCCCAGGGTTTTAGAGCTTCATTCCTTTTCCACTGGTTATCAAAACGCCAATCCAGTCCTTTCCTCCTTCGTCTTCGTTTTCAGTACTTTGCGCATCGAATTGAGCGCATAAGAGACCCAGCCTAGCCTCAAGTGTTATCGGTGCTCGAAACATGGGTCCACTGACGGAATGATATTTACAAACGACAACTGCCAAGATCTCATCTGCCCTTATGAGGATTTTAGAACGCTTCAAGCATGCCCTTATGAGGTTTTCCCTTTTTTCCCTCCCTGTTCTTTCTGGAAATAGGTAAGCCAACTTTTATAAATTAGCCGTCTTTTTTTTATTGTGTTTTTGTCTTTGTGGGTGTGTTTAGATTTGGTTTGTTTGAAAAGGGATAAATGCTGCATCTTTCTAAACTTTTTCCCTCGATTTCCGACAAAAGGGAAATCTTTTATGTTAGTCTAACTTCTAAGGATAAGGAATTGTTTTGAATTTCCCCCTTTAGATGATTACCTGCCATTTTTATGTGGGGTTTATTGGGCGCGTCATCGTACTCCTGTGGGTTCCCTGAGGCCACTGGTCCTCATCTGACTATCTTCCCTCCTCATCCACAGCCCAACCGGGTCGCGACCGCACAGCGGGAAAAAGAATTCACTTTTGCTTTTCGCTACAATCAATTTCAAGTCATCATAAGATCCGAAATCTCTAATACCATTATAGACTAAAGTCGGGGAAAAAAGGAATAAAGGCAAAATAATTCACCTTTTATTTGGAGAGATAATATCCCAGTACGGCATCACTTATCTTCCTAACATTTCATGCAAAACAAGTACAGGATTAAGTGCTAAGAAAACATTATCTAGCTCAGAAGAATTTTGTGCATTTGTAACAAGACGGTCAATTGGAAATGAAGACCAAACCTGATAATAAGTCTTTTTGTTATGGGTTTAAAGCAGCAATGGAAGGGCAGTTTGGTACGAAAATCGTTAGAAGGCTAGCAAACAAGCTTCCTAAAAGACCGTAAATAATACAATCATTATATCTTGATGCATGGTAGGGGGTTGAGAATCATTTTTATTTATTGGAGTTTTATGATTAACCATAGTAATTTTATATGTGCAATTTTTCCTCCAGCTATCAAATATTGAAAATAACAACTTTGTAACAGCAGAAGGCCAGATAGAAACCAAGTTTGTCATCTTGACTGTTTCCAGTAATGTGCTGCTTCTTTGTTCATGCTCATATAATATATATGGTTAAAACTTATATATGATTAGTTCAAGAGACTCAACAATTTATTATATGTTTTAAAGCTAGAGTTTTGAAATCTGTTGAATTATCACCATTCCAACAGTTTCAGTGGTGATAATTTTTGCTTGTTTGTTAGCAAATTCAACCTTCTATTGAAGCTTTCACTTGGTTCCAGGCTTTCAGCATTGATGTGGATCATAATCAATGATATAGATTAGTTGTTTGGCACTGGTCTACATGAATCTAATTTTCCAGTTCACTGATATTTCCTGGCTCTCTTGTTGGTTCGATATCACATTGGATGACTGATCGTCGGTAATTTCACATTGTCACCCTCTGATGCTGCATCTATAGGTTGAACTTGGTCCATAGGAGTTTATGGATCATGCACATGCAGAAAAGTACTTCAATGAGCTTTCACAGGGTACAGTTGACATTCCATGTATATGGTAGCTCTTCTCAATGTCTTAATGTGCAAAGAAAATTTGGTTTCAGAAGCAGAAGCAAATCATGCAGGAAATGAGAGAGAAGGGAATGGCAACATCAACGTTTCCTTACAACATTCTGTTCCCTTTATTGGGACTGGAGACTTTGAGAAAATTGAATTGCATTGATACACGAAATGGAAAGAAATGGGATCCAGTGGAGATAAGTACACAATGGATGAAGCCTAATGGCTGCTTATGCTGCTACATCTAACATTTCTGGATGGAAGAGAATCTTGAATCAGGTAGAAAGATCCCGCATATATTGATCATGGTGGAAATATATTTCCGTGGCTTTGCAAGTGGATATCTGAAGGTTTGGGTCAATTGGAGACAGCTCTGACAATGTTAAGGAAATGGAGGAAATGATGCCCGTCAAAAGGAAGACTCGGCATTTTAATTTTTCTTCTCTCTCCACTAATGGACAACTGGTAAAAAGGAAATGGAGCTTTACCGTAGTTTGGATTAAATACAATCATTGTATGGATTAAGAAAACTATAGTATTTTGCTGCAATGATAGAATCCCCTCTCAAAGCTGGATGATATTGAGGGTGCCGAACAAATCCTGGAGGAGTGGGAGTCTAAGTGCACTGTGTACAGACTTTCCGTGTATTTAAATAGTCTTTTGCTTGTGGCATATTTTGCATAAGTAATTGTGGGCTTTTTTGAGAGAGCTGAAGCAATGTGCTGTAGAGGAAAAGCTGCGCAAGGGAAGTAAAACCTTATGCTAAGTACCTGGACTATATTGTGCAACGGAGTTTATGCCACAAGTAAAAATCAAATGTCCAAAAGGCAGTTGTAGATGTTTGAAGAGAGCGATTTTAGTTTCAAGAAAAAGGCTGGAAACCAAATCCCACCATTTTACTGCCTGTTTGGACTATTTTGGAAGTACAGCAGGAGATGTTGAGAAATGGAGGAAATGTGAGATCATTGAAGAGCTTGGAAACCTTGCTACCAGGGATTTATATCATAGATTAAAGGAGGACTTTACATAGCTGCTGGTAATCACTACTGATGTTCTTGATCAGATGAAGATAGGATAATTTTCCGCTCGATGAAGATATGGAGAAAGATCCTTGAAGCTAGGTCCAAAGTTTTTATATTACATCTCCTCCCATTTTTTTTTTCTTTTTTTTTTTTTTTTTTTTTTGGTTTTAAATAAAAGTATAAGTACTTGCAATTCATAATTAATAATTAACTGGGTTATGGCTAAAATTAAATTAATTATATAATTAAGAACGTCATTAGTAGCTAATTTTGTTTGAACTTGATTTTTTTTTTTCCTTTTTTTTTTTTTTTTTGGTTTAAATAAAAGTATAAGTACTGCAATATCATAATTATAATTACTGGTTATGGCTAAAATTAAATTAATTATATAATTAAGAACGTATTAGTAGGCTAAATTTGTTTTGACTTGATTTTATTTTAATGATCTTAAACTAAAAAACTCAATTTTAAAATATAAGTTTTCTTTCAATTTTGTTATTTATAGTAAGAATTATTTTTATAAATCATTGAATGATTATCTAATTAAATCTTAATAAAATATTATGTTCTTTTCCTCAAAAAAAAAAAAATGTAATATTTGATTATGTATAATCACTGAAAATTTAATTGGGCTCTTTGTGAAATTGACCCATAAAATAAAAGGCCCTCAACCCTTCTTCAACCTCTATTTCGTGCCTCACTCTCTCAAAAACATCTGCTAGACTGCTACTGAAAAAGTTTGCCACTTTCGATTTTTTCTTAGGGTGGCAAATGAAGCCTCTTCTCCGAAAAAATCTAAACCTATATCGTCATGGCAGTCCAGTTTTAAGGTATACGGATCTGTACAATAGGATCTCGAGGACAGCAGATCCAGCGGTCTCGATGGTTCCTATTCTCGAGAATTGGCTCGATGAAGGCAACGAGATTAAGCGACCTGAGCTGCAAGAAATCATCAGGCAGCTTCGGAAGGATCGCCGCTACACGCACGCTCTTCAGGTCTCTCATTTATCTATCTTTGTTTATATGTACGCACTTGAGTTGAGCTTCTTGATTGTGAAATTTTGTTACCCTTCTGTGGTTGCATGTGTTTCTAGTACTAAAATGTTGGGTTTCATTGGTAATTTATTTGGCTGTGGAATTGTTTAAATTTGTGCGACAAAGTCAGTATTTTGTGTGAAAAAGTTAGTACTTTTTTTGGTGGAAAATGACACTAGAAAATTGATTCATTTTTGCATTAGTTACTGGAAAGTTTGGTTTTGGACAAAAAGAAAATGGAGATAAAGGATTTGTGTGTAGCTGATCCAACTCTTTAGGATTAGGAAGAGATATTAGCCAGTTGTATTACAAAGTTTAGCAATTGATATTGTCATTTACAACTATTTTTCAGGGTTTCTTTTTCTTCTACTGTTAGATTGATGCCTTTTTCTTGGAACAAAGCTTAATGCCTTGACTCTTGCGTTTTTTGGTTAAATTCAGTTTCCTCAATGAACATTGTTTCATTCATTGTTCTACAAGTTGGCAGTATATAAGGATGTCTGTTGTACAAGTAGTTAGGATTGTATTTGCGAATTAATTTGTGGGAGAGTTTATAATTCACAACTTGCGGAACTGCTGGACTTTGTTCTGTTTTTATGTTAGATATCACAATGGATGACTGACCGAGTGTGCTTTAACCTGTCACCTGAAGATGCTGCATCTCAGTTGGATTTGATCTCTAAAGTTTATGGCTTAGAAGAAGCAGAGAAATATTTTAGCAGCATTCCTGAAAATTCAAGAGGCTACCGGGTTTATAGTGCTCTTTTAAACTGCTATGCACACACCAAATGTTTGGAAAAAGCAGGAGCTCTCATGGAAAAGATGAAGGTGCTGAGATTCATAAGAACTCCGCAGCCTTACAATTTAATGCTAAATCTTTATTCTCAAATGGGCAAATATGAAAAACTAGATAGCCTGATGCAAGAGATGAAAGAAAAAGGCATAAAGTGTGACTTCTTCACATTCAATATCCGGTTAAATGCTTATGTAGCCTCTTGTGACATTGAAGGATTGGAAGGACTTCTAATGAAGATGAAAGCTGATCCTCGCATCAGCATGGACTTCCATTCTTATGCTGCTGCAGCAAACGGTTATCTGAAAGCTGGCCTAATTGAAAAGGCTCTAACGATGTTGAAGATGTCAGAGCAGTTGATTAGTTCCAGTGTTAACTCAAAAAGGTTTGCTTATGAAAGTCTCCTTGGTTTGTATGCTGCTGCAGGGAAGAAAGCTGAAGTCTATCGTATTTGGAATTTATATAAGAAGAATGGGGTGTTCTCCAATGTAGGTTATGTATGCATGATAAGTTCATTGTTGAAGTTGGATGATATGGCAGGTGCCGAGCGGATCTGGGGGGAGTGGGATGTTGGGAAGTTATTGTTTGACATTCGAATTCCAAATTTGATGATCAAAGCTTATTGCAGTAAAGGTCTATGGGAAAAGGCTGAGGCACTCATAAACAAGATTGTAGAGAGTCGGATGGAACCTAATGGTGCCTCATGGGATCATATGGCAACTGGATATTTTGAAAATGGACAGATGACAAAGGCAGTAGAAGCAATAAAGAAAGCAATTTCACTAAGTAAACCAGGAAAGAAACCCTGCCTTTATAGGGTAGAAGTATGTCTTAAGTATTTGAAAGGCCAGGGAGACATGGAAGCTGTAGAAGAGCTTTTGAAGATGATTAAGGAGAGTCCTTTTTACTCAACAGGTGCTTATGATAGATTATTAAGTTGCGCTAACAGAGAAGACCTGACTACCAGTGGTTCTGATCAGACGGGAGATGATGATCGGACTGTTGGTGGAGAACCACCTACAGCCTTGGAGTATACAGACAAAGGAAGCACCCGAATTATGACAGACTAGTTATGGCATGTTTCTGGTAATTTTTTTAAGAAAATTGCTATGGCTATATGCTATTGAACAGCATACTGTCATCTAATTGGAGATCTATTGACTATTTGCAGTACAAAGAAAATCTGTCAGATCAATTGGGTTTCACAAGTTAATACCTTATCCAATTCAATAAAAGGCTCTACTCAGTTTAGTGCCTTGATTGCTAGTTCATTGGTTCGACTAGCGGAGCCAATGTTTGGCAAGTGATAACCCACTTCTTTAATCTCTTTTCTGATACTGCTAATAACTATTTTACACCACGCAAGACGGAAGGGCAGTTCTTCAATGTGATACAACAATATCACTCCGTTGAATATCTGCAATTCCTTGTCATGCAACCACCTTTTAAAGCGAACGAGCAAAATATATACAAAAATGGACAAAATGGTGGAACTGGAACTGCTGTTCTTGATATTGTTTATAATGTGTGTAACCTGCTGCTTTTTTACTGCAGACAGCAAGCAGTTTCACCAACTGGGAGTTTGTAGGTTCAAGTGAAAAATTCTGTAAATGTACAATTTAAGTTTTATTATTTCCAGTTGCTATAAAAACGCTATCCTCTATATATTTCAAATTTTTTCTTCCACCTTTTCCTCCACTTTGTATGCCTTGCTGTCCTTGTCCTACAAAGATAGGCTTGCTTCTGCGTCTTAAATTAAAATAATTCACCCAGTACTTAAAAAGCTGGGTAGCAATGGCACCCCAATAAACAAAAGCACACCAATATAGACCTGCTACTACAAAGAACACCTTACCAATCATATGGATGTTAGAAGGGATATCTCAGTTTCAAAATTGAATAATCAATAAAATATCAAAATCTTATTCTTGAATATTGACTGTGGTCAAAGCTATTCCAAGGTTTGAAGAGAAAAATAAACAAATGTGAAACACAAGGAGAGGATTAAAAAATGTATTTTTGGTATTCAATTGACAGCAATTCTGATTACTTACACCATTGGGGAATTAAATTTGCTAAAATTTCTCTTTCAATTATACTATTTAGAGTTTTGTATGACAAATTTCACTAATGCAAGCAAACTGAACTTTGTCCAAACCTAATTAAAACCAGAATCTATTGATATTTGAGGCAAAGAGAAACCCAATTGAAATATTTAGTTTGGTAAAATGCAGTTTTGCATTTAACCAAACTTGTATTGGTTATAACTTCATTTTAACACCTATCATAATCACTCACATCACATAGCACCAATTTCTTGACACAAAAACACAAAATAAGAAATATTTTACATTTTTTTTAAGCATAGGTATATAAACTATCACTTGAACATTTAAGAAGATTTCATAATTAAATGTTTACTTGAGCATCATAAATATGAATATGGGTAGTGGAGAAGGAAAATGAAAGGGTACCAAATATTGCAGACATTTAACCAGTCACAGGTTAATTATAGGCAGTGTAATGTCACCTCAGCTTGATGGTTTTGGGTTATCTGATCAAACTAATCATTCTTGATTAAAGGCTAAGCTTTGATTATCTGTTACCATTAGAAGTAATCTAAATATCTGACATTAATACACAATCTATTGTTTTGTAGATTAATCTTTAATTTTTATTATTTTCCCAGTTTCAACCACTGTTTGTGACCTCTTCTGGCCACCACCAGGTTTGCAACCAGTGGCGGAGCCAGGGTTGAAGACAAAGGAGCTGAATTTTTTTATTTTTTATTTTCATTAGGAGGGGTTAAATTAAAAAAGTAAATTATTTTAAGGGTTAAAATTGAAAAGTTTTAGAAATTTAAGTGTGAATTTCTGAAAAAAAAAAAATTTGCTGAGGGGGTGGGCCCCTCCTCATCACTGCTTTCAACCACTGTTCATCACCCCCAATCAGGTTTGGTCATAAATGCAAGACATAGATCATGTAGAATACGAGGAGGGAAGAGATAAAATCTATAACTGTACTATTATTTGTTGAGTTTTAAGATAAACAAAATAAACTAGAAAAAAAAAAATCAAATTCCACATTTAAGAATACTAACCTAATTCCTCTAAAACAGAAGATTCCATTAAATAAGGAGATGTGACAAATGACATTTCTTGAATTTGGACCACTAAACTTTTCTTTCTTGGGCAGTCCCAATTTCCATAACTTGTCAAATTCCAATTAAGTCCAGTAGATCAAGGCAAGAACATGACGATTTCCACTTCATGGACAACGACTTGTAGTATTTTCACTACCATTGAAAGTGTATGAATGGAGGATAATAAAGGGTACCATGTCCAATTATATACATATACATGGCCTCCTGAATATGCCTAATTAGAATATATGATTGGTCCATTTTGAGTGTTGTTAGATCCCGTTTCTGAAATAGCAAGCAAGAATACCCCAGATTCAATGAACTTTGTTAGAATTGTAATTGCTGAGGGACAATACCTGAGCCAACCTAATAGTTAGGTTGGTGGGGAAACAATGTGGAGGGTTCAGGTCCAATAGCTCATCTCTTTTCAAGAATTTCTGATATATAGTAAAAGAAAATGAATGAAGAAACCCAAATCTTAGAAATTTGATCATCAAAACCATTAAGAAGACTTGACCATTAAGCTCAGAAGAAGACTTTGTAATTACAAATAAGCTATAACATCTAGTTCACATCCGGCTGATTCTGTGATATCTTGAGAAATTTTTACAGGTATGCATATTAAGAACATATACGTATATATATGTTCAGTTAAAATGAGAGAAAACATAAAAATACACAACAGAAGAGGAAAAAGCAGATTCTGCTGAGTGACTTGTCAGCCTGCATAACATGCCTTCTCACTCTAGGACTAGTACTTCCTGCAAGATTATATGAATCAGGGTAACTGTAAATATTAGTCACTGAATTACCGAACACTCTTGCGTAAATCATTTCTCCGAACATTCCAATAACTGGATCGAACATGTTCGCTGCAGTGACACGAGGATTGATCATAGGTGAAGGAGAATAACCTCCTGGTCGAGAGTAGTATACTTGGGAGTGATTAGTATAATTACGATTATATGTTTGCTGGGTTGGTTGAGGACTGCTTGTCATAAAAGGCGATCTTGGTGAGTCAAATCCACAAGCAAGACCAAGAGGTCTTCGAGGAATGATTATACCAAGATTAGGGGCTTTGCTCTTTGAGGGTTTTGCAGTTTGGCCGCGGCCAAAGAGTGGAACTAAGGTACCTTCAGAAACTTCAGCTTTGCATACAGGACATTGCTGCTGTGGTTCAAGATCTTCATTTTCAGCAGAAATACTCTGGAAATGAAGCCATTTGTAAATGCAGGGCCAACAATAAAGGTGACCACAAAGGGTGACCACGGGTTCTTGCACAGAGTCAAGACAAATATTGCACTCAAACCCACTAGATGTGCTATCTTCTGAATCTGCAATATTATCAGATGTAGACTTCCAGTTATCCTCTCTCATATGGTCATTTTCTTCTATACTTTCTTCTATATAATGCTGTGTGGCCATTCTGCGAGTTTCGCTGCCTGGATCTCTGAAACCACATGCAAAAGCATAGAGATTAGAAACATACTTATTCCACTAAAATTTTAAATTATCTATACTAGCAAATACAATGTTTAAATATATGCACTTGGAAGATGAATTCAATCCAAATATGGCTTTTTGATGCCATAAGCGGAACATGGGTCACAACCAGACACCACTAGGCAAGTTGGTTATATTGATTGATATATTGGCCCCACAATAACATCGCCAAACAAATTAAAGTGATTATGGGAAATTTTTCGACGTAATGGGAGTCCAGTGGATTGTTGCATACCAGAAAAAGAAAAGAATAATGGAAAGTTTCACAGAAACATCACAAAAAGATAGGGAAAAAAGAAAATCCTTCTAGAGAGTTATGGTTTATTGGACATTAGAGTAATATATTAGAAGATTGTACGAATCCTATCTAGTTTGATATTACTAAATATTGGAAAGAGTGAAATTACTCTGCAACTGCAAGTCGTACTGAGAGTTGCAACAACCTACTTACTTGTGAAGCTTACAATTAATTCTCTTTTATCTTTTCACTCTACTTATTGAAAGAGGCACTGTTCTGGTTGGTGAGTTTTTGGCCAACATGATCATCTAATCAGAAATCAGAAAACCAACAACCACGAAAGTTTATATTTTTACTCATTTACCTATGCATCTACCTTCCTTTTCCAACATTTAATGCTGAGGTCTCATTTTTTCAAGAACAGAGATATCTGTAATCAAGAACTAACCATTAATATGAAAAAACACCTCTTTCCTCTAGAAGATTGGCCACGTCCAATCCAATTGGACATGAAAATCTTATATCTGGATGATTTGATTTAGCTACTTATTTTCATTTATTATTATCACTAACTTCACTACAAAAATTTAGCAGAGAAGGGCCCAAGAAGAAGAAATGACATGACATGAAGATTCAAACTTTCTTTATGACATATGATTAACTACAATAGTGCAAAAATGAATCAGTTTACGAATAATCTCTCAAACAAATTGCAATTAATGACTATATAATTTATATTTTGAGATTATAACTAGATCCAAATGACTCAATCATACATTGCAAAGCAAAACCATGACTCAAAAAGAGACAAGAAAAGAAAACAGCTGGATATGGGTTTTGGAAGGCAAACAAATTTCATGCAACTTTATGATATGATGATAACGTCACCCCTTCTTCTTCTAAGAAAAAAGCCAAGATTTAATTAGGTTTTTCAGATTACAAAAATGTCTTGTAATCACCGAGCCATAAGCAAAAGAACAAAAAGATAAAGAAAAACTGAAACCAACGTCAGCTTTTAGAAGAATTTTCAAGTTGCAAGCCACCTTAGAAAAATGATACCATCAGATGGAAACAAAAGGCAAAAACAAGAAAAGAAAAAAAACCATAAAAATCAATTTTCCAATGTAAAATATTTCAGGGAAGCAGAGGAAAAAAAAATGGTGATTTAATACCCCACCGCCCTTTCGCCACCCACCCACCCATCTCAGCCACCCAACAAAACTAAAAAAATAATAAGGGGTTCTTATATTTTCCTGCAGCTTCATCATTTTGAAGCCACAATAGAAAATAAAAAAAAAAAAAAGCTTTAGGAGAAAAGAAACCAATATCTAGAGAGGATCTCTTCTAAAGAACAGAGATGAAACTAATAATTAATGCATAACTCCAGGAATCGGTTCTTTTTCCTTTTAGTAAAGTTGCTTTAAATTATAAAAATGAAGAGATATTAGAAGCATAGCTCACTTTTTTTTCAATGAAGAAATATTAGAGGGATAGCTTACTTTTTTAATCATACTTCCATGAAAGCAGATAAGTAGGAATCATCAAGGCTGGAAACAGTGTTTAAACCAATAAAACAAAATTAAAATTGCAATAATCACTTAATCTCCACATTCAAAACGCTTGAAACTAAAAATCCCAAGAATCCAACATAAAAAAAAAAAAAAAGACTTCGAAAACATGTAGAAGTAGAACTCAATTCCAACAACAGTATATAATTTTAAAACACAGTACCCTGGTCAATGAAAGAAACCAAAACGCAAGATCTAAACTTTCCTTTTGATTCATTCAGAAAAAAGTCAATAAACAGATAGAAGAGCTGGAGAGGGGAGAGTAAAATAACACATACCAAAAACAGAAGAGTGTGGTAGTGTTGGCTATAACGGAACACTCTGCTGGATATTTGGAAGAAGCTACTCTTGAAAAAACAGAGCTAACGTTTCCAACTCTGAACAGACAGAGAAACAGAAGAGAAAGAAGGAAGAGGTACGATAATGGCAGAAGAGAGGGAGAGACGATTGATAGAAAAGAAAAGAGAGGTTTATATCTTGAGACAAAGTAGAAAAGAACAAAGGATAAACATTGCTCTTCTTGCACGCTTGGGCTGATAGTGACGTGGCGAGCGCTGAGTGCGCGCCGGTGACGGAGTTTCTACCTCATTTCTTAATTTAAGTTATCTTTTATAAAAATGATAATTCTCAAAGTTGAGAAGTTTTAATTTTAATTTAAATTTTTAATAAAAAATTCTAATTTAATTGTATCAAAACCGAAATATAAAAAATATACGGTGTTATATTATTTTTTTAATTTAATTGGTTTCTTATTAGTTATATTTCGGTTTGATATTTATAAAACGTAAAAAAAATATTTTTTGATTTGATCGGTTTAATTTAATCCTTAAAGAGTTAGATAAATATTATTTTTATTCGATGGATTTTAATTATTTAGTTAATTCCTTCAACTTAATTAAATTTGACTCCAATACAATTTTTGATGTTATTTTTATTTATTTAGTCAACATTGCTAGGAATTAAATTAAAAAATAACAACTATTGAATTCCTTTATATTTAGAATCAAAATATTATATTAAACGGCTTTCATTTTTTATATAAGTCAATGATTTAAAATTAAACATAGAAAAAAGAGTTAGAGGATGGAAAATTAGTATGAAATAATAAAAAGAAAAAGAAAAATCGTATGCTTCTCTTTTGTTTTTTGTTTTCTTTTCTTTTCTCTTAGTTTGGCAAGTTGAAGAATAAATAGAAGATTCAAGAATGGAAATCAACATTTCTTGACTATTATAACAAACTCGTGTGAATGTTTAAATTATTTTTCACGTACTATAATTGTTATTTTCCCTTATTTATAACCCATTTCTAATAAATAATTTTCAAAAAAAAAAAACCCATTTCTAATAAATAATATATATACATATATATATAATTAAAAATTTCCTTGAAAATTTATAGGATAAATGAAAAAATAATAATAATTATAGGCCTAGACTAGTTAAGACACTAAAAATTCAAAAATTCAATAATTTGGTTTTGGAAATTGGCTGAATTATTTGGAATGACGTGTCTTAATAATTTACTTATGAAATTATCATGGTAGTCTATCTCTTTTCCTTTTCTAGCAACATTTAATTAATTAATTGTTTTTATTTTTTTACCATTTTTGGCTCATTTTCTATCTTTGTATATTACGTCTAAAAATTAAAAACAAAAACAAAACGATATCCACTATATAATAATTGTCTGTGTATTGATGGACAAGATGCATAAGGTTGATCTTATCTTTGTTTTAAAAAAAAAAAACAAATTTAATCTTATTGCACTCATTAAGATAAAGAAAATTTTTAGACTGTGTTCGGTTCACTTTATTTATGTGGATTTTACAAATTAGTTTTTATCGAATAGATTTAATATTTAGAATTCAGTCTAAACAGCGAATCTTAAAATTTCATTCGGTTATTATTTAAACAATTCTGAAAATGATTTATTTGGGGTGTAAATATTCGAAACTGCTAAAAGAATTTGCGTACAAAACAAAACATGATGAAGATTAGAAGGTTCCTTTAATGCACATGCTACAAAGTTTTAGAATTTATACATGAATCACCAAATACTTTCTTTTTGATTTAATTGAAACATTAATCAATTAATTATAGTTTATAATTAATGCGTGATTTATAATTATTATATTATTTTATTATTTATTGAGTTATATATCAATTATTATATTTACATTAATTAAGATAATAATTATCTTGAATCAATAAAAATAAATAAATTTTATTTATAAGATGAAAGTTAAAAAAGACGTAATGACGTAGAAACGCGCGTAAAAAATTAAAAAAATAAAAATTGTTAACATCGAAAAATAATAACATAATAAGGAAAGTTCAAATCAATTTAATAAATATAACAAAAAGCCAACATAAAAGGAAACAATAAATAGCTTTTATGTTAGCTTTGCATAAGGGCAAAGGCTAACATCCATGCAATGCACCGTGCAAAACGTGAATGTTAAATGTGCATCTTTAAATTTTGTTGGAATAGCAAATTAGAAGCATCCTAATAATTAAGCAAAATTAAAATGTAGATATTTAAATAAATTTTTATAAAATGCTAAACGCTAAAAGCTACAGACGTTAACCTTTTTATAAATGGTATATTCAGTAAAATTAATTATTTTGGTAGCTGATGACTGTTTTAATAACGTTTAGCGGTCAGCTGTTTGAGTAGTTTTTCATAAAATGCTAAAAATTAAATCTCTAAAAATTAGTTCAAATATTATATTACCGAACACTATAAAAAATAGTGTTTAATATTTTAACTGATCAAAACACTAAAAGCTGCTTAAAAAATTATTATCGAACACAATAAAAATTAGTTTAAACGCACTTAAAAAACTATTGTTTAAGAGTGATCACACATGCACGTGGATTAATGATTCAACCACACCCCAAACTAGGGTGAAACCATTTTTTAGCTTCTAAGCAACATTTAAAGATCCAAGATCCTCCAAAATTTCTAAATCCCCTAATAAATTTTCTTGGTTTAATGTTTGAGGTTGGCCAAACCATATTAAAACAAGAATCTAAAAGGATAAATCTTGTATGGTATCCCACCAAATTTCATCGGAGGAAACATCTTCTGCAACATTTAATTTTAACTTAGGTACACAGGATTCTCAAACTATCTAATTTCGGTTTTTTTTTTTTATATATATATATATATATATATTGCAATAAAACTCAATCTGATAATCCAATGTAAATATCCAAATTTACGTCTGTTTCCTGCAAATTAATCAATCATTTCTAAGCAATTAAGTTAAATTGGTAATTCCGAGAATAAGAAAGGGATTATGTTTTGGAATGTCGGGTTGTATTCTATCTAAATTGATAAAACAAGAATATAATTAAATATTTAATTTTTTGCAACTAATTAATTCATTGCGAAAATCGAAAAATATAATTAAATCTAACTGAACGAAATATTGATACTTGTAATGTAATTAATTAATTTGTTACCAAATCAAGCAAAATTAATCTAAATGTTAAAAATAATTATGAAAATATATATTAATTTCTAATAAGAGATTAGAAAAATAATAATTATAAAATTAATTAATTATTTTAAAGTGTAAAAATGTTTCAATTATGGGAGTAGTTGCAACTAATCATATTTTAGGAACTACAAATATCTTGAAATTTGCGCAAACAATTAAACTAATATATTTTCCGTTCATTCAACTCAAACATACATAAAAAAATAGAATGGTGTTTTCTTCCAAAAAAAAAAAAAAAAAAAAAAAAAAAAAAAAAAAAAAAAAAAAAATAGTCGGTTCTTTTTTTTTAAATAAAATATTATTATTATATTCACTAATAATAATAAATAAATAATAATAATTAATAATAATAATCTCCACTTGTACGTTTGAGCACATCCATGTAACGTTGACCAAGTGTTCTTATTCATCTTTTCGGCAAAAGACATGTGTAATTAATATTGTTGACTGCAAGCAAAAAAATTAAGAAGAATTGACACTTTAATAAAGCATAAGGTTCTTTTAGTAACTAATGTTCTATATCACTAATAATAATAATAATAATAATAATAATAATAATAATCTCCACTTGTACGTTTGAGCACATCCATGTACGTTGACCAAGTGTTCTTATTCATCTTTTCGGCAAAGACATGTGTAATTAATATTGTTGGCTTCAAGCAAAAATTAAGAAGAGATAAATACTAGTACTATTAACCTTATTATTTAAATGTCTACTAATTGGGATTAATAAATAAAGACTTCCGTACGACTTCAATAATCATAAAGCTTTCATATCTAATCTTCAAATACTCTTTTTTGTTAAAAGTTTCAATCAAAAACCGCACTCCTAGAATTAAAGAATGAGTTCCTTTTTTTATGAATATGTCAACTTTATAACCACATAACGACAAGTCGTTTACATCCATCATAACAGATTTAGTTTCTGAGGTATGTGCAATCCAGCCGTTTATTATGGCAAGTTGGAGAATAGGAAAAAGTGAATATGAATATGACACATTGAATGTACATGGAACACAGCTTGTTACTAAATTGGCTGTAATCCAACAGACCAGGAGACTCCAGAATTTTTTAAGCAAAACGAACACTTATTGCTGTCATTTAAGCAAAATTGTCATGAAAAATAAAAGATGGCAGCATCCATAATTATACAGGGAGATGAATTTTTCGAACTCACAGAATAAGGCAGAAAAGAAAGGCTCCAAAAGTATAAAACAGGAGATCTTGACAAGATTCTATTACCTTCCGTCTACAAGAATTTTTCAATGGTGGTAGTTAGTGTTGTTTTGGGCACAGCACCAATGACAGCATCTTTCTTCTCTCCATTTTCAAAGATCATTATTGTTGGAATGCTTCGAATTCCATATTTGCTTGCAGTAGAAGGACTTTCATCAGTGTTCAATTTAAAGAACTTCACTTTTCCAGCATATTGCTCTGATAGTTCAGCTACAACAGGATGGATCATTCGGCAGGGCCCACACCAAGGAGCCCAAAACTCAACTAGAACAGGCCCATTAGTCTCAAGGACAAGCGACTGCCATGTTTGGTCAGTAACAGCAGGAACTGAAATTTAAAAGTCAAAAAAGAAGGTCAACTAAAATATTGTATGAGAAATGATCATGGAGCATTTCATAGAAGAAGAACACTACTATATGGATAAGAATCAGATGCTCTAATTTCTTTTAAAAAGATTAAGGCCATCCATAATCTAGTAGCCAAGTAGCAAGTAGCACACATAAATGAGGTCCATAAAAAAGGCAATTCTTCAAAGAGATGTACAAGAGACTTCATAAAAACCCCTACGGAATCAAAGACAAAAATATAACCAACAGTAGCTCGAGGATGAATGGTGTATGATAATTGCCAAATTTTTTTTCAATTATCTTATTTTGATAATGAGCCATCTAAGCTTCTTCCTACACCAAAGCTTACCCACTGAAAAAGTAGAATATCCATGGGAAAGGACCAATTAGTTGCCCACATGACCAATCATTGTTAACTCTAATTTTCAGGACACTCAACTATTCGGAAGGTCTTTATCATGTTAGAATCAAAAGATGGAATCTTCTACCAACATCTCCACTTGATTTTGGTGCTCATTTGGAGTTTGCAACAAGCACCAAGCTGCTCTTCAGGGCATTTAAACCTGAAATAATTTACTTTTAAAATCCAAACGTTCACATAATAACTTTGAAATAATGATTAAAAGTAAAGAAAGGTAAAACTAGATCAAAGGTTTTTGATTTTCATTGAATAGGCTAAAATTTCCTTCCAGCTTCCATTTCTCCCTGGAAACCTCTTGAGTTTTAGAAACTTCGGATTTTGACTGCCACTTGGCAGCAATCCCTTCAAGTTCTCCTGTTATCTACTTGGCCATTCTTGAGGTGTTGTTAATGGATTTCATTTTGTCAGTGGCAACTGGCAACAATGGAATGGTCCTTCTGCACTATTTCAGTTCTCCTTGGGATATTTTCCTTTCCTCATGGAATTTGTTCTGCTTGAAACTGGAAATCACTGCTCGGAATCTTCAATGTCATTAGGTAGCTTATCCAATCACCAAACAGATTTGGAAGAGGCCAATTCTCTTCTTTGAAGGTACTTACCAAGATACCTACACTTTTGTGGGCAATCTTGGGATTGTACCCTTCCTACACAAGTTATTCTTTGCTGACCCATGATCAGATGCTCCAAAATAATCCCTGTCATTGATTTTTGAAAATCAAATGGCCCTCCCTCCTAATAGTCCAGTGGTGTCTTTTTCTCTTGTTTCCAGCACCACCAACTAACCTTTGATCTATCTCTGGGTATGATGTCCTGTATGCCTAGTTTCTTTTTATTGGACTGTAAATCTGCATCTTTTAGGGTCCATGTACACTCAGTACTAACAAATTTTCTCTTATGGTTCCAAAAGAAAAGGTCACTCCGAATAACAAATCACAAATTCAATTCTCAAAGTAACACATATATGCAACCTAAGACATAAAAGAGAAATGAGATATCTTCCACCGACTGGAAGTGGAAAGGACCAAAGAATTATGGGGGAAAGAAAAAAAAAAAATCTTATGCTTTTCTAAATTTCATTCAATCTATTTAAGTTTTAATTTTATTAATTTTACCCAATCCTGCACTCTCGCCATAAAAGTCAACAAGCAAGTTGTACATGCATAGATTCTTCTCTGCCAAACTAGACACTTATCCTTGCTGGTAATATGGCCGTCAACTCCAAGCAAACAGGGAGAGGAGGTACCACCTTGTACAAATCTCTACCTACAGTCTATAGCCAAACTTAATCATTCACAACCTCGTTGTGCAAGCAGCCTTTCCACTGGCAACTCCTAATTAACCCTCTAATCTTCCTTCTTTTACTCCCTCCATCTATAACACAACTAAGTCATTATCCAGTTTCCATTTAGGCAACATGGTTGCAATGTCCCTTCTTCACATTGATAAAGATATCAACAGCATTTTCTTTGACCAGTTGAGAAAGACAACATTTTTTATTAAAGTTAACCGCATAGGTCCTGCTTCAGTACTAAAAAACTTGAAGGACATCTGTTAAATGACAACCGTTTACTGTTTAGTTTAGTTTAATTGTCAAACAAATCTCAACCATTCTTCGCAAAAAATATAACTTTTAAATAGCTTTTGTCTTCAAATTGTAAAAATCAAAAATTTTCCAACAAGATAAACAACTACTACGAATTAAAGCCCGCTTGAGTACAGTTTAAGGTAACTGCGTTTAATTTTATCCAACAGATTGAAACTTTCCCCATCTGCCAACTCTGAGATAGCTAGCTTTGGCAGCCAAGCAAGGGAAAGCAAAAGTTTGTATACTACTTTCCTGTCTATGAGGTAATCTTCTATGTAAATATCAACATCTGAATTAAATAATCTTAACAAACCGACTAAAAAAAATAAACTTACTATCAATTGTAGCCTCCTGAGCTTCGCAGACAACCGGACCTCCGCTCCGTCGAGAAACCCTAGCACTTCTGGAACTCATCGAGACAAACGACAACTTGGAAGAAGGCATTTGTATCCTCAAGCCTCTGAATTCAGGGAAGGAAGAGAGAAAGGGGCTGCTGGAATGGGGAAGCGCAACCGCCATCGGCGACGAACGATGGAAGGAGGATTTGAGGCGCGAGGAGGAAGAGAAAGGCATTGGAGGATGAAGAGGCAAAGCAGAAGCCATGACTGATAGTGTGGGAAATTAGGAAAAGAATATGTCTTGCTCTGGTTATTTATGGTTAGAGAGAAGAGGAAAGTTCAGTTACGGAGACGTGAAAGTTAGATATGGAATTGGAGAAGAGAGAAAGAAATACAAATTGGGAAGTGTTAGAAGAGATGATTTTTGAAGATTAGCTAAAAACTGCGTCGTGTAAGGTGGAATGATTGTGTATGAGCAGAAAACTGACAACTTCAAAAAATTAAAAAATAAAAAATCACTGAAAGTTTAATTAGGCTTTTAAAAATGGAAATGGGCTCTTTGATAATTCGACCCATGAAATGAAAAGCCCTAACCCTTCTTCAACCTCTATTTCATCCCTCACTCTCTTCAAAACCTCAGCTCCACTGAACAAATTTTCCATTTTCCGATTTTCTCTTTTGGGAGCGAATGAAGCTCTTTCTGCAATCAAATCTACAACTATGTCGTCGTGGTCATCAAATTTTAAGGGATCGGTTACTTTCCACTTATTCCTCCTACTCTTCGGCTCCAAGCGGTCTGTCCCGTAGGATCTCGAGGGCGGGAGATCCATCAGTCTCGATGGTTCCTATTCTCGAGAAATGGCTCGAGGAAGGCAACGACATTAAACTATCTGAGCTGCAAAAATTCATCAAGCAGCTTCGCAAGTTTCGCCGCTACACCCAGGCTCTTCAGGTCTTTCATTTATCTATCATTGCTTGTATATAATATACACACTTGCACTTTTTAATGGTGAAATTTTGTTACCTTCTGTGTTTATATGCATTCACATGTATTTCTAATATTAACATGCTGGTTTTGATTAGTAATTTATTTGTCTTTGGAATTGTTTAAAGCTGTTTCATAAAGTTAGTATTTTGTATGAAAAAGTTATTGTTTTTTGAGTGGAATAGAGTCTAGACGAATAATGATGTGGGTTGAACTGGTGAAAAATGATTCATTTTTGTATTAGTTCCTGGAAATTCTGCTCTGGACAAAAAGGAAATGGAGACAAAGGATTTGTTTTAGCTGATCCAACTAGTTACGATTAGGAAGAGGTTTAGTCGATTTTAGCAATTGATATTGTCATATTGCAACTGTTTTTTGACGTGTCCTTTTCTCCTACTGTTAGATCAATGCCTTTAATCTTACATTTCAATTTAGTTTTCCCAATGACCGTATGTGACAGTCATTGTTACAGAAGTTGGCAGTATATAAGGAGATTTCTGTTGTACAAGTTGTTAGGATTGCATTTTTGAATTAATTTCTGGGAGAGTGATTTCGTAACTTGCAAAACTGCTGAACTTTGTTCTATTTTTATATTAGATATCTCAATGGATGACCGACCAAAGGTGCTTTATCCTGTCACCTGGAGATGTTGCAATTCAGTTGGATTTGATCACAAAAGTTTATGGCTTTGAAGAAGCAGAGAAATATTTTAGCAGCATTCCAGAAAATTCAAGAGGTTACCAGGCTTATGGTGCTCTTTTAAACTGCTACGCACACACTAAACGTTTGGAAAAAGCAGAGGCTGTCATGGAAAAGATGAAAGAGTTGGGGTTCGTAAAAAATGCGCTGCCTTACAATATAATGTTAGGTCTTTATTCTCAAATGGGCAAATATGAGAAACTAGATGGCCTGATGCAAGAGATGCAAGAAAAAGGCATCGGTTGTGACTTGTACACATTCAACATCCGGTTAAACGCTTATGTAGCCTCTTCTGACATTGAGGAAATGGAAAAACTTCTAATGAAGATTGAAGCTGATCCTCTGATCAACATAGATTTCCATTGTTACACTACTGCAGCGAATGGTTATTTGAAAGCTGGTCTAATTGAAAAGGCCTTAACGATGTTAAAGAGATCAGAGCAGTTGATTAGTGGTAACCCAAAAAGGTCTGATTATGAAGTTCTCCTTACTTTCTATGCTGCTGCAGGGAATAAAGCTGAAGTCTATCGTATTTGGAATTTATATAAGAAGAATGGGGGGTTCTTCAATTTAGGTTATCAACGTATGATAAATTCATTGGTGAAGTTGGACGATATAGCAGGTGCTGAGAGAATCTGGGAGGAGTGGTATGCCTGGAAGATGTTTTTTGACATCCGAATTCCAAATTTGATGATCGAAGCTTATTGCAAAAAAGGTCTTCTGGAAAAGGCTGAGGCGCTCATAAACAAGATTATAGAAAGTGGGATAGAACCTGATGGTGTCTCATGGAATCACATGGCAGCTGGATATTATGAAGGTGGTCAGATGTCAGAGGCAATAGAAGCAATAAAGAAAGCAATTTCACAAAGTAAACCAGGAAGGAAAGCCAGCTTTCATAATGTAGAGGTATGTCTGAAGTATTTGAATGGTCAGGGAGATGTGGAAGCTGCAGAAGAGCTTTTGAAGATGATTAAGGAGAATGGTTGTTACTCAGCAGGTGTTTATGATAAATTGTTAGATTGTGTTAACAAAGAAAACCTGACAATCAATAAAATCTGCTAGATGTTCTGATAATTGTATAGAAGTCCTTTGTAAAGATAAAAAGTTACAGGGCGTAAATTAGAATTATTTTGTATGTAATACCCATTCTCAACCTTTGTTAGAATTTAAGTGTAGGTTGAACCTATTAGCAAGGAACGGATTATGTTCAGAAAGTGAAAGCAATTATACAGGACAGGGAAGAGAAAGGAATGGTAACATAAATATTTCCTTGCAACATTTTGATTAACCTTTATTGTAAAAATGTCGACTTTGAGAAAATCGACACATTGATACAAGAAATGGAAGAAAATGGATCCATGGAGAAGTAAACAATAAAGAACCTAATGATTTTTTTTTTTTTTTCTTGTTTCAAGTTTTTATTGTTTTTTTCCAAAAATTAAAAAAAAAAAAATCAATGAAAATTTAATTGGGGCTTTAAGAGAGGAAATGTACTCTTTGATAAATGGATCCATAAATAAAAGGCCTTAAAACCCTGCTTAAGCCCTAATGTTAATTCATCACTCGCTCTCAAAAACCTCAGCCACTGAAAAATTTTCACATCTCTGATTTTCTCTTTCGGTAGATCACTCGCTCTCAAAAACCTCAGCTACTGAAAAATCTTCTTTTTTCTGATTTTCTCTTTTGGTAGCACCATGAAGCTTCTTCTGCAATCAAATCTAAAGCTATGTCGTTGTGGCCATCGAGTTTTAAGGGATCAGTTATTTTCTACTTATTCCTCCTCCTCGTCCTCTTCGGCACCAAGCAATCTGTCGGGAGATCCAGCGCAGCTTCGCAAGTATCGCCGCAACACGCACGCTCTCCAGGTCTCTCACTTGTCTACCTTTTCTTGCTTATACCTACTTTGTTTCCCTTCTGTAGTTGTATTCATTTACATGTATTTATGTTGGTAATTTATTTGTCTTTGGGATGGTTTAAATTTGTGTGACAAAGTCACGGTTGCTGTTATCTAAAGTATACCTATAAAGTAATGAAATTTAACGAAAAAAATTATAATGAAAATGATCTTGAATAAGATGATAAAACTCCGTCTGTTATTAGCTCTTCCTCTTGCATTTCCTGTAAGAATTCTTTCTTTTTTCTTATTCCCTGTCTTTTGATTCTAATAATATTCATTTCATTCCTTTACACATTTATTTTCAAATGGAAAATATACAGATGATGCACTTAATCCTCATGGATATTCTGGCTGTACCCTTCTTCAAGCCAAGAAACGTAAGTTTTTATTTTCTTTTATATATTTATCTACTTTGCTCTTTGTTTTTCAACTTCTCTTCATCTTCTTAATAGTTACTATTTATTTATTCTTGTAAAAATAAAAGAAATATAGAAGTTGATAAGTTCCTTGCTGAAGTTCCTAGGATTGTATTTGTGATTTACTTTCTGGGAGAATGTAATTTTATAATTTCCGAAACTGCTGAACTTTGTTCTATTTTTTATGTTAGATATCACAATGGATGACAGACCAAAGGTGCTTTAACTTGTCACCTGGAGATGTTGCAGTTCAGTTGGATTTGATCACAAAAGTTTATGGCTTAGAAGAAGTAGAGAAATATTTTAGCAGCATTCCTGAAAATTCAAGAGGCTGCCAGGTTTATGATGCTCTTTTAAACTGCTATGCACACACTAAGCAGTTGGAAAAAGCAGAGGCTCTCATGGAAAAAATGAAGGAGTTGGGGTTCATAAAAAATTCGCTGCCTTACAATGTAATGCTAAATCTTTATTCTCAAATGGGCAAATATGAGAAACTAGATGTCCTGATGCAAGAGATGCAAGAAAAACGCATCGCTTGTGACTTGTTCACATTCAATATCCGGTTAAATGCTTATGTAGCCTCTTCTGACATCGAGGGAATGGCAAAACTTCTAATGAAGATTGTAGCTGATCCTCTCATCAAGATAGATTTCCATTCTTATGTTATTGCAGCGAATGGTTATTTGAAAGCTGGTCTAATTGAAAAAGCTTTAATAATGTCAAAGAGATCAGAGCAGTTGATTACTGCTAACTCAGAAAGGTATGCCTATGAAATTCTCCTCAGTTTATATACAGCTGCAGGAAATAAAGCTGAAGTTAATCGTATTTGGAACTTATACAAGAAAAATGGGGGTTTCTTCAATCTGGGTTATCTATGTATGATAAGTTCATTGGTGAAGTTGGACGATATGGCAGGTGCTGAGAGGATTTATGCAGAGTGGGATGTTGGAAAGATATTTTTCGACATTCGAATTCCAAATTTGATGATCAAAGCTTATTGCAGAAAAGGTCTTTGGGAAAAGGCTGAAGGACTCATAAACAAGATTGTAGAGAATGGGATGGAACCTGATGGTACCTTATGGGATCATATGGCAGCTGGATATTATGAAGGTGGTCAGATAACAAAGGCAGTAGAAACAATAAAGAAAGCAATTTCTCAAAGTAAACCAAGAAAGGAACCAAGCCTTTATAATTTACAAGTATGTCTGGAGTATTTGAAATCTCAGGGAAATGTGGAAGCTGCAGAAGAGCTTTTGAAGATGATTAAGGAGAATTGTTGTTACTCAGCAGGCGCTTATGATAGACTGTTAGATAGTTATCTCAGGTCAGATAACTAGTTTTAAGATGTAAATAAGAATTAAATCTTTTTATGATAATATTAAATATTTATTTATTATTAAATATTTATTTTTTATGATAATATTAAATAAAATAGCTAAAAATTTTTAATTATTAGCAATTATTATTATAAGATTAAAATAATAATGTTGATAGAATCAGCATATGACGCATCTAAACAGCCCAATATGGCAACCCAAAATCCAATTAGGCCCAATTTTCAAGTCAAGCCCATGCACCAAAAAGAAAACATTTTTTTATTAGAACAAAACGCTCCGTATTATTCACTGAGAGACCAAAAACAACCGGCGAAAACCCCCTCAAAAAACACCATGTTCTCTGCCGCCAACACTACCGCTACCAGAGCCTTTATTTTCAAATTCTCTCCTCCGTCTTTGACATTTTCCACCAAAACCCTCATGGAGTCTCCACCGAGACGCCTGCAAGATACCCTTTTGAAATCTACTGCTCGTTCTCCTCCAAGAGAAGTTGATGCAGAAGTAAGTTTACAAGAATGGCAAGGATGGGGCACTATATCGCCTGTACCGGCAAAAGTTTTGGAAATTGTTGAGGATTTGAAGCATTTGGAGAGTAAAACTGATGCCCAGATGGTTTTTGGTGGTAGTGGTGGCAAACTTAAGGTAATTTGGTTAAATGAATGAAAAATAAAGTGACTTAAATTGCATGAATTATCGTGTTTAGTTCTTTACGGTACACTTAATTTTTAGCAAGTGTATGTTTTCTGGAGCTAATTTGATTGCATAAGAAGCTAAATTTAAGTGCAAGTTAAATTTCTTTTACCATCAATTGAAAATGGTGGAGATTTAAATTTATCAAAAAGTTCCGAATGTAAATTGCTAGCGCATTTCTTGATATTCATTTAAATCTCAGGTTAGGCGTATCAGAAAGTATCTTTTTTTTTTTTTTTAATTTTTAATTTACTCCATAATGTTCTTGTTAGTTATCTTATTTTCCTTTTTTTTTTTTTTTTTTTTTTCTTAATTTTAGCAAGTGTATGTATTTCTGAGCTAAATTGATTGCATTAAGAAGCTAAAATTTAAGTGCGCAAGTTAAATTTCCCTTTTACCATCAATTGAAAATTGGATTGGAGATTTAAATTTATCAAAAAGTTTTCCGAATGTAAATTGCTAGCGCTTTCTGATATTTCATTTAAATCTTCAGGTAGGCGTCATCACGAAAGTATCTTGTTTTTTTTTTAATTTTTTAATTTACTCCATAATGTTCTTGTTAGTTATCTTATTTTCCTTTTTTTTTTTTTTTTTTTTTTGTATGTGGGTGGGGGGGGGGCGTGGCGGGGCGGGGGGTGTGGATTGTGAGTAATAAAGCACTTCAACTTTATAGTGAATTTATCGGGGCCGGGGTGTGGATTGTGAGTAATAAAGCACTTCAACTTTTTTGTATAGTGAATTTATTTGTTAGTTATCTTTTGATTAGCGGCATTCTAGTTCAATTGGATATGGTTCCTAGACCAGAAATTTTCTCATTCTTTCTCTGTATCCTGTGGTGTGTGCCAGGGGGAATTTAAACTTCAGGAAGACAAGAAACACAGAGCAACTTATGAGGCTTTAGGTGATTCTGAACAAAAGCTCCAATTCTTTGCAGCTAGACAAATAGCATGTCGTTTGCTTGGAAGTAGAGATTACCTTTGCCAGAAGGTATACGAGCTTGGTGGTTTTAATGTGTTTTCCTTTCATAGTTAAGTACTCAGTAGGCATGCAGATCCGATAAAAGGTTTTTGTTGTTTTCTTTCCACCCTTTTCACTTGGTTGGTTTCAGATACGATAAACTGAATTTTCTATCTGGCTGCTGTGAAAGGGTTGCTTTATAGTCTGGAAGAGTGTGGCTAAGTAATCACAAAGAGGAGCACATGATATTTTTGTGCATCTTTTGATTGAATTCTATTGATTTGCAGTGCTGGCTTCCTTCGGAAGAAGATTGCATGTGCTCAAAAGTCGAGCACTCCTCTCTGTGGCCTGGTATAAGGTTCTGGTTATATATGCATCCAAAGGTTAGAATATTTTACTGTCATCTCACATATTATTTCTTCTGAATTTTATAATGTTTTTATTTGTAATCAGCACATCAATCAACCTTCTTGCAGGATTTTCTACGACAAAACAACACTGGAAAATTGTTATGGCAAGTATTTGGAGTTCAGTCTGCTACTTTATGCCTCTTTGGTATTCCTGAACACGAGGAGATCATGTGGAATGCATTCAAGCTTGCAGGTCTTTTACAATCTATAAGATGTCATAAGGTTGCAATGTAATTTTTCTTCTGTGTCTGACATTGTATTGCCTGCTGTCAGAGAATTTATGAGGGTTTTGTCATTTTACAATTTTCATCACTATTTTTACTTTCATCTTCTTTATCTTCCATGATTCAATTTTCAGAGCCACTTCTTTGCTGATTGTGGTGTATGCCATTGCAGGAAAAGACAAGGTTTGGTGCCTTTATCCCAACAAGAACGAAGTTACAAAATCAGTTCATGATGCTTTTGGCCAAGAATTTTCAGCTGATTTAGAGTGTGCTTCCCGTGGGGTACTCTTTTCATACAACATTACATGCTTATTTTCTCTTTATGTTTGGACTCCAACTACTACATCTTTTCACAAATGCTTTGATCAGCAGAAGCATGTTACATGTTGTTTAGTTGATATTCATGTGTTTGTGTGTCTGAAGAAGAAAAATGCAGGAGCAGCACTATTGTGAGACAATCTATTCTATCTATGGCAGCAATTATTTTAACCATATAAGAATAGTAATTGTCTCTTGTTTGGAATGGACTTCCTATTTCTTAGTTGGAAATCTCATATTTTCTTTCAGTTCAACTAGGTGGTAAATCTCATGTTGATTCTACTGCACAGACAAATGAAGACAAAACTCTGAATTTTATATTGATTGATGGTACATGGAGTAACTCTGCTGCAATGTTCAGGCGTTTAAAGGTGTATAAAGTATTTTCTTTGTCTCTATTCTTTTTCAGTATGTAATCCCTTGAATTGTGAGGCTGTACAGTTCTTTTACAGAAAATTTGCTAAACTTTTTCCAGGGTTAAAAAGGGGAAAAGAACAAAATCTAATATGGGATGGATTTCCTTGGCTTAAATGTAATATATGCATGTATTGTATGTGCAGGAGCAAACAAAGTCGGTATGGGGAGAGGAGGATCTCCATTGCATTTCCCTGGCCAATGGTGCATCTACAATGCACAAGCTTCGGTGAGATTTATAGCATAGATAAATCTTTATTGAAGGTTATCGCATCTGTAATTCTGTACAACCCCCCTTCCCTTTCCCTTCACTTTTACTCGTGTTAATCTTACTCGCTGATGTATTGAGAAAAGGCCTCAGCCATCATGGGATCGAACTTGTACAGCGGCAGCAGCTACTAGCCTCCTCTCTGAGCTCCAGTATCTTCCAAAGTTTAACTCCTATGACCTGGATAAACAAGCCGAAGCATTAGAGGATGCCCTAGTTATTCTATTAGAAGCACTGACAACTAGACGTCTTAGGATGGGTAGGTCAATAACCCGGAAAGTGAGAAGCACCAACAATATCCGTTAAGGGCCATCAGAGTATCATATTCTTTAGCAGTGAGCCGAATGTCCGAATTACATAGGTTCGTAATATGAAATCTTTTCCATTTGGCAATGGATCGATTGACTCTCATATTTAACCTAAATATTAACACATTTTCAATTACAGGTATCATATTTTGCATCGTTCGTGATGCTAATTATAACCGCAATTACAGTCAGCGATCAAGTGACAATGCAGCTGCGTCGGTGTGATATCTATTGCTAAAGCAGGATCATGTCACAATTCTTGTTGATGTCTTGGATGTATTTTCTTTTAGATTCATTTTGAGAAAACTCTCACATAAAGCTTATCTTTTTGAGAAAAGGAAAAAAAAGCTGTTGTCTGGTTTTTAACTGCTGATAGTATATGTCTTGGATGTATTTTCTTTTTAACTGCTGATAGAAAAAAAAAAAAAAAAAAAAAAAAAAAAAAGATGTATTTTCTTTTTAACTGCTGATAGAAAAAAAAAAAAAAAAAAAAAAAAAAAGAAAAAGAAAAAATCTTGATGAGCGACATTTTGGTTACCAATCTTGAAATAACTATCAATCTCGATATAATTTATCAGCTCTGAGATTTAAAATATGCCTACCATCCGAAGGAGGATGACTCTGTTGGTGCCAATGACAAGAATATATATATATATATATATATATTATATATAGTATATATATAGTTGGCTTAAATGTGATAAAATATATTTTACAAGATTTCTATTTATGCATTAGACTAACTCTTATAAATTGCTATAAATTTATATAAAAATTATAAATGTATGTATATAGAAATTTAAATTCATTTTAATATGAATTATAACCGAATTAACTAACTATAAAAGCAATTATAATCTGGCTGCTCCCCATTAACAAAATGACAGCTTTTCTAGACCAATATTCATGCAACATTTTCCTCTCCTCCGCCACAGTTTATCTTTCTTCTTTTCTAAAAATGGAAAAAGAAAATATTGATGGAAAAACAAAAGATGCTGATTGCTCGTCTCTGGAGCATTGGAGATCAATTTCGATCTCCAAAGAGGAAGAGAGAAAATTTTTCTTAAAAGAAAAAAAAAAAAAAATCCAAAAACGAAAAACATGGCTTGTAATTACAATTCATCATGGTTTTATCTCATTTTGTTCTTCCTCTTGATTGAACTAGCCAGCTCTTCCTCTTTCATTTCCTGTAAGAATTCTATCTTTTTTTTTTTTTTTTTTTTTTGTTTGCTCTCTGTCTTTCGACTTAATAAGATTTTGTATTCATTAATTTCACATTCATTTTTTCAATTGAAATATACAGATGATGTACTTAATCCCTGAATGGACATTCTGGCCGTACCCTTTCTTCAAGCCAAGAAAGGTAAGTTCTTCATTTCATTTATTTGTTTTTTCATTTTTTTTTTTTTTTTTGCTCTCTGTCTTTCGACATTAATAAGATTTGTTTCATTAATTTTCACATTCATTTTCAATTGAAATATACAGATGATGTACTTAATCCTGATGGACATTCTGGCCGTACCCTTCTTCAAGCCAAGAAAGGTAAGTTCTTCATTTCATTTATTTGTTTTTCAATCTTTCTTGATCTTTTTACTGCTATTTTATTATTCTTGGAAAAAAGGATTTTGTTTCTTGCAGAATTTTAGGGTCTAATATATGAATTCTAATAAAGAAAGTTAAGTTCAAATTCATGAAATTAACTCTACAATCAAAAGCAATGTTTCCCTTCAAAACTCCTGCCTTAAATTTTCTTTTACTGCTTGAATTAAAAATTTTCTTGGTTGTTATGTAATTTGAGAGAATTCAATGATCATAATGTTCAAAGTTCCTTTCTTTTTTCTTTAAAAAAATCCAATACAAAAATTGAAGAGTGATCTTATACATGAAATATCTCATATTTATATGCTCTGAAGAGAGTTGATGCTATTTCGGTAACTCGAACTCATGGTTTTCTTATTTTCCTCATTAATGATGATTATCTTTATTGTCTTGACTACAGAATGCAATATAAGTTTTGAGAGTTTAGACTACAGTGTCTTCACAAGCAAGTGCAAAGGACCATTATACCCTGCAAAGAGTTGTTGTTCAGCTTTCAGAGAATTTGCTTGCCCTTATGTTACAACCCTAAATGACAGAACCAATAATTGTGCTGAAACAATGTTCAGCTACATAAATCTCTATGGAAAATACCCTCCTGGTTTATTTGCCAATGAGTGCAAAGACAAAAAGGAAGGTATTGAATGTGAAACTGATAGCAACTCTTCTTCTTTACCTAGAGTTAAACCTTCATTGCTCATCCCCACATCTAGTCTCTTCTTTCTAGGGTTATACAATTTCCAGCTTCTCTAAATGCTCAACTTAAAAGCTTCGATTCGGTGTTATATCTTTCGTTACTACTAATTTATTTGTCAATGTAAGGTTAGGTTCAAAACCTGGAGTCGTCATTATTAAAAAGACTTTACTTGAATACTATCTTTGTCTGAACGTGGAGACTTATGTACATATCAAAAGAAAGTAACATTCCAGTTAATTAATATTTGATTTTTACAGATTTTTTTTTATTAAACTGAACTCCTACTAGATTTTTTTTTTTTTTTTTTTTTTTTGGATTAAATTATATTGAAACTGCTGTAATATTGTTAATATAGATATATATGAAATGTCGGTTGCTTAGACACCATTTGGATAAGAAGATTTTTTTTTTTTTTTTTTTTGGATTTTAAATTAATTGAACTTGTAATATAGATATATATGAAATGTCGGTTGCTAGACACCATTTGGATAAGAAGATTAGTGTTGAGATAGGATGTTTTGATTCATGCTGTTCACTTGTCCGTACTATAATTGAAGATTCTGGTTTTATGTAAATGTTCTGTTCTCTCTTTATTTAGTATTGTTTCATTTGGAACTTTAAGATGTAGCCAAAGGTTGCAAACCTAATAACAGTGAAGCTTTCTTTTTGTAATATAGCGATGTAGTAATAGTAAGACTTGTTACTCTTTAGCTAGTTACAAGAAGAAACTATGCCTTCTATACAAATTCAAGAATCAATAGTGCGCTACCAATAAAGTATTGGTGGAGACAGTAAGCAATTTTAATCCTCGCATGGATGAGAATGCAGTTTGATTTATGGAAAGCGCATTTTGCTAAAAAGACAAAAAATCTTTAAGCTCTACAGCGGAAGAAGATTAAACATCCCGGTTATATATAAAAAAAAAAAAAGATTCGATTGTATGCTAGGAAACTTTATTTTCAAGAGAAAATTATTGTCAATGACTCGATTATTGGATCAAGCAAGTCAGGAGTCTTGTACGAGGCATGATCTGTCAACTGAAATAAGTGGGCAGAAGAGTCAATTGGACTGGGATAGAGATTCTTACATGGAAAAGACATTGGACATAAAAATGAATGGATTGTGAACTCTCTCCCACTCCACTAAATAATGAGCAACACTCCTTTGCCCTCTTTAGTCATCATCAACCTTTCTATCTTCCATTTATACTCCCTATTCCAGAGGGAACATGAAATGGACAGATCCAATGGAGGATAAAATATTGTATGGATATGCAAAAACTGTTAATAGTTCAAAACAATTTGTATTAATTCTTTATCGTAAGTATTTCCATATCTTTTTTGTACGAGAATAATACAATTTCAGAATTCGTGACTGTCTCACCCTGTAAATATCTTTGCATAATTGAACATTTGATTTTTTAAAATGGTCGATTAAACTTAAACTAAGTAACATGACTCGCATTCTTATTTCTTGAACTTATGATGTAGGATATCTATGAAATAGTTTGAACTATGTCCACATACATCTTGGAATTGATTAAGGAAGTTGACTCGAATAATTCATAACTTCACATCAAACTTTACAACTTGCAAATTCATGATTTATTGCTTGTGAATGCTAAGCCCTGTCGCCGGATAATAACAAAATATAAAAGATATACACCACAAGAATAATATAAATGCTCTTGGAGCATAATTTAAAAGTATGAATAATTAAATTAAATTAAATTATGTCATTTCTATATTCATTTATACCGAATAAAAGTATGAAATATGTAAAAATTCAAAAGTGTGACAATATGCAAAAAATTCAAATTCTTCTTCAAATTTATACATATTGTAAAAGAAAATAAACTTCAATTTACTCAGGAATTTAGATGCAATAAATAATTTACTTAAGAATTAACTTTTTTGTGCAATTATTATCTCAATTTTACACCAAATGAGCAAAAAAGACTCAATTTTTGTACACATTATCATATTTCATTACAACTCCCACATGGGTTGATACATTTTGCTTTTCTCTGTCCTTGTAAGACACATGTTTATGACATAAAAAAGACATATATACTAACTCCCGTGAGACGAGATGAGATGTAATAGCAAAAATATATTTTTCGAGTCTTGAACATAGAGTCCGAGGGAGCATTTTATTCCCTTTTTGAGTATGCCCGGCAATAAATTTCGAATAACAGATGATTAAAATAAAATAAAATAAAAAAAAGACATGTCTACTAACTTAGAAATGGCCACAGATAATTATAGAACATGTTGTCATTAGGTTTTGAATTGGGCAAACCTCTAATACCCAATCACTTTCTGTCATGTGGCAGCTCAGTGATGCAATAAAAAGAGAAATGGTCAAAAACAAAATCTTTAAACATAAAAGGGATATTCTTAAGTGTGAACACAGTCACAAAACTTGACTCCAACATTGCAGTTTTCGGCTAATCATATCCACGGAGAAAACCCAAAAAAAACAGAAAAAGAAAAGTCAAGACTTTCTTTAACTAAAATATTTTTCTTTCTCTTTCTTTTTCTTATAAAAAGAGAAAAAGAAAAGATGAGCAGTTAAAATCAGTGATGATGGAGCTTTAAAGCCACGAGGAGATTCTGAAATTTTCATCTATGAGCAGTGACTAGAGTCTCAATAAACTTCAATCCATCAAATCTTGGTGCAAATTTTTCTGTTGAAGATGATCTCTCTTGATCTTTGCTTGATCTAGCTTCCTTCAAGAACAGAAGAAAAAAACCAATTCAAAAACCAAATAATCGATCGCAGAAAATTAAAATGTAATTAGTGTTAAGAAAGCATAAAATAAAATCATCTTCACTTCAAAATTGGAATTCAAGCTGACAAAGATTTGGGATTAATTTGATGGGATAAGAAAATCAGTATAACTTAAATCAAGAAAATACCTATAAAAGGAAGACTCAAAATCCCAAGAAAAAATCAAATTATTTCTGTCTTATTAATATAAAATCAAACCCAACAGATTTTATTTAAAAATTTCAGCTTTGCAAATGTAAAACAGAGAAACAGAGCATATAAACCAACAACCAAAACAGAGCAACCAAATAAATAAATAAATACAGGGTATAATGCAAAAAGCCAAGAGAGCAAAAGAAAACAAATACGAATTGAAAGAAGATCCAAAATTTTTCTTTCAAGGCTTACCTCATGAGAAAGCTGCATCTTAGAACTGAAGCTAAAGCTTGAGTTAGAAGATGGAGAGGAAGCAGATACGGCAGTAGCAGAAGCTGCAGCTACAGAAGCAGCAAAGATGCCAGATTTCTTCATTGTTTAGAGATGGGAATTCAAATTCCAGGAATCTTGTAAAGGTTCGAGAAAAGAAAATAGTTCTGTTTGGTTTCTTGGAAAGAAAAAGTTACAAAGGAGAGAAAATGAGTAAAGAGAAGGTGTTGAATGGCATAGATGGGAGAGTCGTTGATGATTATATATATAGAGAGATAAAAGGTCGGCAGTAACTTGAATATTTACGCGGCAACTATGCCCTACTCTTTACGCTATTGAATTTACGTTTTTGACTTTCAATTTCTGCTCAAAAATTATTTTTATATAATTACTTTTACCAAAATACCCTTTTATCGATATTTGTTGCAAGATATTTTGATGCAATTAGTAGCTTTTATTTTCTTTCTATATTTTTATCATTTAATTGCCTTATTAACTTGCTTTTGTTATCAAAATGCATATTAACAAATAACAAATAACAAATACACTAATAGAGAAATCTGCATTTTCATATTTTGACCAGGCTGATATTTAAGTGAAATTCTTTAAAATAGTAACAATTTTAAATTTTCAATTATAAAATTACAATTAAAGTTCACCAGTCGATTTTCATCCAGTTGCTTATTGATAATTTTTGACTAATTTTTAATATATGTGAGAGAGAAAAAAAAATCAAATCCCTTTTCGTGTCTCAATCAAACTATTAATTCAAGATTTGAGGTTTTGAGGTCATTGTATGATATAATTATCACTATTAATTAAAATGATTTTAACTATTTTGTCCCAAGTTTTGATACTATGACTAAAATATATCTATGAAAAGGAAGACATTTAATTTTCTTCAACATATAGAAATACATTAATTTCACTTTGTAAAGTTGTCTCTGGTTGGTATGTAAACACGTGGACAAGAAAATTTTTCATTATTAAATATTAAATGGTTGATTGAAAGATACATAAGATATTTTATTATAAGACAAATATTATATTTTCTTTTATGGAAACAAACATTTAATTTAGAAAATTTAATGTAATACATAAAAATTAACTTACATTAATGTATCCTTTAAAACAAACTTATGTTACTCTCAAAAAATATATATATATATATGTTAATATATAGAATTTAAAAAGAAAAGAAAAAGAATATCATGATGCATGTCCCTCCTCAACTTAGCTTTGCCTATTATCATTTATTCAAAAGAATAAAAAAAAAAAAAAAGAAAATAGAAAAAGAAGGGCAGCCTTGTAAAAACAGCAAGTTTCTTCTAGAATTTCATGACCTTTAGAAGGGGCAATATAGTAATAATAGAATTGAATGAAGGTTTTTTTGCGGCTTGGCGATGTTGATCTATGCAAGATGACTTGTTCGGAAGTTAGCCATGATAGGCTGATTTTTCAAGTCGCACGCAATTATTGCTCAACACGTGTATGCTTCAAACGGCACCACGTAAGATCCCAAACTTGCACATATAAAAAATCTAGAAATGCGAATAATGTTTAACTCATTAATTTAATTTATTATTTCTTTTTCATAAAGTATATGAGAACTAAGAAAATTAAATATTTTGATAAAACTAAGAATATCATACTCTAATTATATAAAATAAGTCAAAAGACCATACCCTCCAAAATGAAAAAAAAAAAAAAAATAATATAAAAAATTATTGAAAAATATATTTTATTTTTATCACTTATAATTAAATAAAATTATTTTTTGACCCTTTATTTTTATCAGTATAGTAGTTGTCTAGTTTGATAAGAAATGGAAAATACAAAAGCAACCTATTTTGAATTCCACAATTTTTATTAATAAATAATTAAAAAATATTAATTTTGAGCACATGATTTCAAAACATAAAATTTTTGTGGCCAAGTAAGGTTAAGTGCCTAAAACGACATTGTAAATTTGACACCACAAAAAAAAAAAAAAAAAAAAAAAAAAATAAGAAATATGAAAATACAAAAAGCCAACCTATTTTGAATTCCACAATTTTATATTTAATAAATAATTTAAAAAATATTTAATTTGAGCACATGATTTCAAAACATAAAATTTTTGTGGCCAATAAGGTTAAGTTGCCTAAAACGACATTTAAATTTGACACACAAAAAAAAAAAAAAAAAAAAAAAAAAAAGTAAAGAAAATGAAAAGCATCATCAAAATATTGAAGAGCTAGCAAGTGGTAACTTTTGTCCTGCTGATATTTTTTGTGTGCATGTGGTTATGGAAAAAAAAAAAAAAAAAAAAAAAAAAAGGTAAAAGAAAATGAAAAGCATCATCAAATAGAAGAGCTAGCAAGTGTACTTTGTTCCTGTGATATTTTTTGTGTGCATGTGGTTATGGTTAGCCGAGACAGAAGGTCATCACTCATTTGGGTGCATGACACGTGTCATACCAAAATAACAACTAACTGCTTTTGTCAACCACTAATTTTATATGACATTTTGTTATTTTTGTATTGGTGGTTTCTTTTGTTAGGTTTTGTAATTTATGGCAACTTCATTTTTTAGTTCAACTTGGCTTTATTTTCACTTTTCTATATTAATTAAAAACTTTATTATTTGGAAAATAGATGATGAAGTAAGAAGAATTTTGATAATATTAAAAATATTTTCACCAACTAATAAAACATAAATTAAAAAATAAAAACAAACAATCATAAGCAAGAGTAGACAACAAAGCTAATTTTGAGAGGACAAAAGAAAAGAAGATGCCAAATTTTGTTTGGCAAAGACGTAGTGAAATTGTTGTCTTACAACTAAGTATTAATCAAATAATATTTTAACGTGTGGGGGCTTTGTCTAAATTAAAGAAAGAAGGGAAAGACAGGTTGTGAAATAAATAGCTAGCCATAAACGACATCCATGGTTGTGAAATGCAACAAATCTTGACTTGCATGATTTCATCATCCCAAAAGTTAAATAAATAAAATACCCAATAAAGCTTTCAACTTTATCTCAATGTTTAAAAAGGTTCCATCTTTTGAGTCAACGCAATATGGACCTCTACATAATTTTTAATTATAAACTTAATTATAAGTCTGATAATGCAAATATTATTAGGAAGAACACTAAACTAATTAATATTAGTGACGTAAAAGAAAAAAACAGAATCCCTAATTATAAAATTGGATAGTTGTTTTACTGCGACAATTGTTAGGTTAGGCCAATATTAACTAATAAAATATAATGCTGATTAACTATTTGGTGCATGCATCGACTCCTTGATTCCCTCTCCTAAAGAATGGGTGTTCGGTATTAACAAATTTTCTATTAGATATGATATTACTATCATTTAAGCAATATATAATTGAATTATAATACTTATGGGGTATGCTATAATTGAATTATAATGCATATTGGATATGGGAGTGTGTGCAAACAGCCGGTTCGGTTTCAAACTGAAGCGAATTGCAAAAACTGAAAATAACTTTTATTTGAAACCGTACTAAATCAAATTAAACGGGTCAATTCAATACATATAAGGTCAAACAGTTTGATTTTACTTTGAAAATAAGTATTTTCCGATCTAAAGATCAAAAATCGAAATTGTGAAAAATTAAAAATCGAAAACCAAATAATCAAACCATTAATCCAAGATAGTTCGGTTTAGTTTTTGGTTTTTTCCAAAGTTTGCTCACCTGTTATTGGGTATACTATTTGTTGAATCAACTCTCATATCAAACTTAAAAATTCAAAATGGATCTTTCTATTCTATGTATTTTGAAGGTCATTGGTGTGTGAGTCAAACCCCAAGATGAATCCCCCTTTACTTTCTTGGGCTTAATGAAGACATGCACACTTTTTTGAAGATGCCACTTGCTTTGTGCCTTTATCATGCAATACACAAATAAATAAAATCAAACAAATGCTCTTTTTTACCATTATATTCTGATTTTTGAATATTTACTCAAAGCTCTATGAACCATTAGAAATGTGAGTCAAAGAATAAAAGTAAAAGACTAATTGAATATTCAACCATTAACATGCACTTTGCCACTGAATTATTCCTCCAAAATTGAATTGCTGTTTTTCACTTGTTTGAACAATGTCTTCTTTATCTTTCTTGCTCTATTCATGAAGTCACAAAAGTCCCTCCTCTCTTCTTTGTCACAGTTGAAGGTCTTCAAAACAACAGAAGTTTATGTCAATGTCCTATGATAAGTCGTCCTACAGGTGCAGATAAAAATATATTTTCAAGTATTGAAGTGTAGCATTTCATTTATATAACTCCTCCAAAAGTTTTACACAACCAATCCTAGGGTAAATGATGATGAGAAAATAAAAGATTCTGACAGAAAGTAGGCACTTATAAGTGAGTGTGGACTTCCACCTCAAAAATTTGAAAAAATTTTATCAGACTCATGCAAGGTGAATGTTATATCAGATTGTTGAACCATAGTGTTAAAGAAATCACATTAAGATAAGATAAGCAAGGTCACACTGAGTAAACGTATAAGTGTTTTCTCAAAGTTGGCAACTACTAGTGAGATTTTGAACACAAGAAAGTTCAATTTCATGAGTGTCCTTGATGTAGAATCACATTAGAAAGAAGATGAAATAACATCAAAGCCAGTAACATCAAGCCAATTGCAGATGAAGCAACAGGGCAAAAACAATGGTAAAATCAAAGACATGGAAACATGAATATTCATGTTTTAATTATGATACAAATATATACCCATTACCTCCATTTTTCTTCTCCTACAGTCATCTCTCCAGTGTCACTTTTAAATAGCTTCATACAGCATTTTAATGATGGTATTCCCAAGATTTCTATTTATATGAACTTGGCATGAAGAACAATCTCAATTGTTCAAACTGTTTTGGCCAATTTCATTATCTACCAACTATATTCTTCAAACTGAATAAAATAAGTACAGCAGTTAGTGTTCCCCAGCTCAAATATTCAATCTCACAGTCCTAAAAGTATGGATTAGACTGACCAAGAGTCCTTATACAGCAGTTACTTACAGACTTCCTACTTCTTATACAAAAGACTATACTACAAGACCACAAGGCAAGTCTAAGAAAAAGCGTAATTGCTAGCAGCAAAGAAGGAATCTATATGTTCTCAAAAATAAAATCCAAATAACAAGATAACAGCATCCATCTTTCTTATTCATATTTCCTCAAATGCAGGAAATTCAAAGTAAAAACAGAAAAGCTACATTCTTTTACCTTTATTTTGAAGCCTTGATGGATTCAACAAACCCACTGCTAAGTAACCTCTCTACGTATTTCCCCAAAATATCCACCTCCAAATTAACCTTCTGTCCAACTTCCTTCAAAGGAATCACTACCTTCTGCTGTGTATAAGACACCAGCATAAAATTAAAGCATCCTTCTTCATCAAACACATCCACCACAGTCAAACTAGTTCCATCCACAGCAATAAACCCCTTTGGCACAACATATCTCAACAAGTCTTTATCCACTTTCACCTTCACCCACAATGAATCCCCTTCTGGCTCCTTGTCCACTATCACTCCCGTGCCATCCACGTGACCCTGCACAAAATGCCCACCCATACGACTTGTCGGTTGTACTGCCCTCTCCAAGTTCACCAAAGATCCAGGCTTTAGCTCAATAAGAGACGTCTTTCTTAATGTTTCAGGAGATAAACCAACAGTGAACTCTTCATTAGTGAAATTCGTTACCGTTAAGCAAGTGCCATTAACAGCAATGCTATCTCCTAAATTGACACCTTCAAGAACGGTTTTTGCCCTTATTTGAAGGTCGAATCCGCCGTCCACAGTGGTGCCCAGGTGGTTGATTTCACCCATTTCTTCGACTATGCCGGTGAAGAGGCATCGAATGCCGGAGGTTCGTAATCGAGGTTTAAGAGTGGATTTTGTGAGGAAGAGAGACGTGAAGTTAGGTTTTGAAATTAGGGTTGAATTGAAATGAGTTCTTGTGGGAAATGTATGGACAACTGTTTTCGTTGTTGTTGTTGGGATCATTGAGCAGGAGAGCTTCGGGGCAATAGAGAAAGAGGTGAGAGAGGAAATCGTCATTTTTGTCTGTTTGGTTCGCGAGAAAAGTTTGGGGCTTTGACTCGAGTACCGACCTAGAAGACTTAGTACTAACCCCTAAACGCCATCGTTTCAGCCAAATACTCGATTTATACACTTGTAACATTTTTTAATGCCGAGCGACGAGTCGTTGGAGGACCGCGATTCAGTTGCACAGAACTTTCAAATCCAACAATTGGTCGTTTATGATTTTAGTGGGTAAAAAAAGCAAGAAAGGTTGTTTAAAATTAAAGTTATTTAATTGTTTCCTCAATCATTCTTCAAATATGTTAAAATGATGAATCAATTGGCAGAGGGAACAATAACATCATTCAATTTTTGAAATGAAATATTGAATATTAAATTATAAATAAAACCGAATCATCAAATTTCTAAAATATAAAAATAATACAGTGATTCCATAAATTTAATTGATAATTAAGACTATAATGATGAGTTACAAGAACGCTCTACTTTAAAATCCTTAAATTTGAGTAAAAGAATTAATTGATCTCACTAGCAACTATAAAATGCTAGAATATTGAATACATCAAGATATACTAATAGGTTAAAAGAAATCGACACAAAAGATTGAGATTGTATTAAAGAGACAAGAGAAAATTAGGTATGAAGTCCTTTTAAATATTCGGGAGAGAGAAGTTTATCCCTTTTTGTAGATTTGCTCGGTGCAAATTATAATTAATTGGATCAGTGCACTTCGGACACCGGATAGTTTTTTTTTTTTTTTTTTTTTTTTTATTAGTGTTATGAAGTCCTTCTTACCAATATTCGAGGGAGAGAGAAGTTTATTCCCTTTTTGTAGATTTGCTCGGTGCAAATTATAATTAATTGGCATCAGTGCACTTCGGGACACGCGGATATGTTTTTTTTTTTTTTTTTTTTTTTTGAAAAAGTTTTTTTTTTTTTTTTTTTTTTTTTGAAAAAGAAGAATTAGCATATATTATCTCAAGGAAAAGTAATCCACCAAACATTCGGGCACTAAATCCCAAATATGAACACGATTAAAACGATAGGATGCTCTAGCTAAGCAATGAGCACCTATATTATCGTGTCTTCTAATCCAACGAACCTTGACTAATGGAATAGAGGCTAATAACAAAATGCAATCAGAAATAACAATACTCAACTTACTCATATCTCTAATCTTTGACGAAAGAGCATTAAAAATACTTTGAGAATCTATTAGAACAGTACCCGCACCCTAAATATGCCGAGCTATAAACTGTAAAGTGAAGCGTAGAGCCAAACCTTCCTCCATAAGTGGAGATGGCTCACCGGATAGTTAAAACCAAAAAAGAGGTAGAAGAAAATAAAATGATTGATAGGGTTTAGCTTATATTAAAAAATAGGAGAAACGAAAGCGACTAGTAGGATTTTTTACGTTTATTTTTCTTTTTTTCTTAATTTCAATGGTAGATTAATCTAAAAAAATTATAAAATTAAAGTAATTAGGTGATATAAAGAATAATTTAATTAAATTAAGAAGTTTCTATTACAATCTAGATGGTTGAATTACTCAATACTCATGTAAAAATTTTAAAGCACAAATAGAAGGAGACTGAAGGATTGCTTGTCTATTTAAATAAAACACATATTCCTTCAGGAAATGATAGACCTACCCACAAACGTTGAGCCGTGGACGCTAACGGCTAACCCAAAGGAGATGCTTTCCTTTTTTTTTATTTTTTTATTCTCAAGGCCAATCAAATTCTTCCACGTCATTGATAACTTTTTACTCAATTAGTTTGCAATTGTAGCTTAAACTCTTGGTTAATTGGAATTAATGTTAAAAACAAAACCACTCATTGGTGATTAAAAGGTTATAGTTCTAATCATCTTGCTGGTAACGCTGAAATAGTTTTTAAAATTAGAAGTATTGACATTGAGTCCACTCAGATGAGTGATTCAAAATAAACATTTTAATTCTTTCTTTTTTTTCAATTGCACGCGTATCTTCACCTTCGATTATGGTCAGTACTCGTATAAATCTCTTCTAACAGGGAGTAAATTGCAATTAACTTTTGACTTCTAATTATATTATTATAAAACAAACACTACTACTAATCCATTTGAGTTTATGCTAATCAAGTATATTTTAATTGGTCTTTTTACAAATATGATAAGTGAAAAGTTTTGAATTCGAATCTCTCTCGACCGTCAGAGTCTTAAAAAAAAAAAAAAAAGTTTATATATATTTTTATACATGCTGATAACTTTAGCGATGAAGAGGCAGTCAAAGTCGACCAAAGCAGAAAAAATCCTACTGGACGGCGCAGAGGGCAGATAGAGCAACTCAACCAACATATCATAAAATAAGTGTACACAGAGTCTCAAAACCAATCTTTTTTTACCAACCAAATTATATGCTTTTGCTTTTGTTTTAGAGACACAAACTGATAATACCCTTTTCAATTATGTGGGTGCTCTGCTCTGCAATTTCAATGGCTAAAGCTCAGAGAATATGTGCTCTTCTTTTCAGGCTTATTGCCTTTGGAGCTACACTAGCAGCAGCCATTGTTATGGCTACTAGCCATGAAACTGGTTCCTTATTTGGTCTCTCAGTTGAAGCAAAGTACACTGACACTCCATCCTTCAAGTAACTGATTCTTTTGATTCTTTAATTCATCAATTTTTTTACTGCTAATTAGTTGCTTTGTTTACTAAAATTTTTTTCTTTTTTTGGTTTATTTAGGTACTTTGTGATTGTTAATTCTATTGTGACTGTCTATGGTTTTCTGGTTCTCTTTCTTCCTCCTCAAAGTTTGCTCTGGAGATTAGTTGTGGCCATGGATGTGGTAATTTATATTGCATAGCTTCATCTTTTCATGTCTATGGATTCAACAAGCTTTAGTTGATTAATTATTCATGTCTATGGATTCAACAAGCTTTAGTTGATTAATTACTCCCTCCTCCGGTTCATTCAAACTCTCAATTTTTAAGATTTTTCTTATGAACTCACTTATACACGAAATCAATTAAAATAGTATTTTCGTTTGTACGAGAATATTTCTAATAATACACCGGGACCACCAATACTAAGCAAGTCTTATCCTAAAAATTTTCTGTTGTGTTATTTTGACATGGAAATTATTAGAATATTAACTTATTTTGTTGTTTGAAATACATATAGGTGTTCACTATGTTGCTCACTTCAAGTATTTCAGCTGCCTTGGCAATTGCTCAAGTGGGTAAAAATGGAAATTCACATGCAGGTTGGTTCCCTACCTGTGGTCGAGTTCCTAAATTCTGTGATCAAGTAACAGGAGCATTGGTTGCTGGCTTCATTGCTGTCATAATTTATGCCATTCTTCTCCTCTATGCTATCAACAATTTCCTTAATCCTCTCCTTGTTCAAAAAACCTAATTAGGGTTTTTGTAATTTCATTTTCTTTCTTAATTTGTATCTTTCTGTATAATTATAATGCATGTGAACATAAAATCCGTCTTTTTGTCTAGACTAATTAGGTGGTAACTTGTAATTTTGATCTCCTAATTATCTTTTTTATGTTCATTTTTAGCTCTTGAATATTATTATGTTTGTATGTACTTTGTAGATTCCATGTTCATAATTTAATTTTATTTTTCCTAATTACTTTGACCATTTCTTTTTTTTTTTCTTTTTGGAGAAACATGAATCGATACTCTTTTAATTTTTTTTTAAATTTTCACAGTTTGTCTCAGAAGAAACACCCTAATTATAAAAGGGTCGAGATTCCATATAGTCTTTCGTATATATTACTATTTTTTTTAATGGTATTTGAGTTATACGTGTATCGGATTAATTTATGTGTATCAAGATTCAATCCTCTCTTTGGATGAGGTTAAACCGTATTTTTCTTGTATTATTTTAACACATTTTGAATATTATTTATGAAATGCTCTCAAACAGCGTTGTATCATAATATAAAAAATTAAAAGTATTATTTCATTTCAATAAAATTATAATTATTTCACATATATTATTGGTATAATTCATAAAATAATTTCAATCATTAAATCACGAATAGAACTATATAATAATCTATTAAATCCTTTAATCTTAATACGAATTTTATAAGGGTAAGAGAAATTTTCCAATTGATTTGTCAAACTTTTTTTTAAAAAGAATATTTTGGTTTCATACTATAATCAAACATATATATCACATGGTCAAAAGGGGAAAATAGAAAAAAAAAAATTATTATCTACCTATGATTATTATGCCAACCCAAGGTGTAGACATTATGAATTTCACCAACTCTTTTATTATTTTACCAATTCTGACCTTAGAATTGTAGGTATTTGGTTATTTATGGGATTTTTTATGTCACATATATAAGAGTTTGACTATTCCAAACACTAAAATGAATAATTGTAAAACATTTAATTAAACTAGTCACAATAATAATAATTATTACAAAATTTGTAGTATTTGATTTTAATTGGACAAAAAAAAAGTTTAGCTTATGATATTAATATAATTTTAAATATATAAGTTTTTTTTTAGTATAATATAATTTTAAATATATTAACCGAATTGGTAAAAAAATAAAAACTCCCATTTTTTATGAATTAGTGTTAGATATAAATTACAAAAATATTTTAGACATTTAATTGTAAAATTTTCTCTATGAAATATCGTACTAAAAAATTAAAAATTAAAATATCACATATATTATCTTTGAATTTTTATCTGTTATTAAAGATTTTACGTGCTCGTTAAAAAAGTAATTAAATCACTTAAATTATAATAAATTTAAATTATTGATTTGATAAAAATACTATTTATTTTATCTAATCACTTTAATTTTAAAAATTATATTTCATTAATTTGAGAGGAAAAAAAAGAAATATTATCAATAATTAATCTAATTACATATTAATATTAATCATTACAAATCATAACAGCCACAATCAATCATTCATCCCAATTATCAATAAAAAAATTCCAAATATTGTCTTATATCACACATTGACATGTTGTTGCGCCCACATTTCAAATTATATGTGTCGCTTTTTTCTAATATACAAGCATATTATTATTTTATATAAATAAATATTAGCATCCACAAACAAAAATATAAACAAATCCAAACCTAAATATTCAATATTAAAAAATAAAGAAAAATAAAAATAAAAAACAAGAGAAAAGTCGGTCTCGGTACGAGCCTCATCCTTATCTGCCACATAAAAAACGTTTCTCTTTAAAAACCCATTACCGTATGCTTCTTTTGATTTGTAATAATAAATAAAAACCTGTATCTTCCTTCAAATCCAAGCCATAAGAGAACTTTCTCTGTTTCATCTGTGTCTTTGTTTCGATAAAAGCCCTTCCTTTCTTCATTAGGAATAGAAAGTCCCAGACTTTGATTTCAATCTGAGTTTCGGATCCCAAAATGGCATCTGGATCTTCCGGCCGGGCCAACTCGGGCTCGAAGGGATTCGATTTCGGGTCCGATGATATTCTTTGCTCTTATGAAGATTACACTAATCAGGACTCCTCCAACGGAACTCATTCAGATCCTGTTATTGGGTCTAATTCCAGCAAGGTATTGTTTTGTTTTCTTGGTGAAAGTTTTAAGCTTTGGTTGGCTTTGGGGAAATTGTGGATTTTGGCGTTTTTGGCTATTGATCTGAGACAATTATTTAGTTCAAATTTGGTTTCAGATTAATAGATTTCAATAACTTTGTGATTTTTGGTTTCTTAAAGTAAATTTTTTTAAAACCCTCTTCCCCCTTATTTGGAGCTTTGATTGGCTTTGAATGTGCTATATTTTATTAAATTTGCTTATTATAATTGAAGATTTTCATTTTATTTCATTTGTAATTGAAGGATGAGATTAATTAGAGCTGTTTACGGTTTTGTTCTTTGTTATTGGGTTTTACTTATGGGTAAATATCTACTTTACTGATAATAAAGGAATTAAAGATGACAAATAAAATGTAAGATGTTTGTAGTTTAACTCCAGTTTAGCTGGAATCCAGTATCCGATTAAGTTTTACTGGTAGGGTTATTAAGTAATTGAGCTCTCAAATTGCTTTCAATGTTGTATTTTAATTTAGTGATGCGAGGTCGAGTTGGAACGTGGTGATATCATATTTGTGACGACTGAGGACACTTATTTTGGCTTGTCGTTGAAAAAGATGTACTGTACAGCACTTGGATTTATTTGAAAAGTAGCCAGGACATTTTAGGTTTCTTTCATTAGTGGGCCGGTGGAAAATTAGTGTGCACTTCTTTCTATGCTTGTAAGAACATATTCTTGCTTTAATTTGCTGTACCAGTTGAGAACCCATGACACTAAAAGTGAGGACCATTTTTTCATTTGTCAAGGAAAATGGTGTCTAAAACTGACTTTTATCTCCAATTGCATCATGCCCAAATTTTCATGAGTAAATCTGAGTGTGAGAGAGTAGAAGGGTAGGGTGATGCTTATTAATGTTGTCCTTCCCTCTCCACCTTTTTTCTCCTCCCTTTTGTCGACTTCTTATGGGTGTTTGTTGTTTCAATATTTCCATTGGAGAGCACTAAATTGACATTCTAAATATTGGAAGTCTGGAGAAATCGACTGGAGTGAAACATGGAGAGCATTGAATGTACTTTTTCAATGTTAAAGAAAACTTCATCAAACACATCCCATATTTATTTGCTCTTTTACTGCATTACACAAGATTTATTTATGAATCTCTTATACTGTTGGAAACTTGTACAAGTCTAATTGAATTAATGATTCAGGAATTGAAGTCTGAACTTGGATTACCGTCTGTTGTTGTTACAAAATTTATTCTTGTCGCTCTGAATACCATATGTTTGTAATGTGTATTCCTTTAATGTAAGTGGAACCATATTCACTAACTCAGGACCGCTTCATTTTACTTTAATCAGGATTTTCACAAAGGCAGAATGGCAAGGTCTTCTGTGTTTCCTGCCAATTCCTATAGCCAGCCAGAAGATTCTTTCAGCCAAGATATGATATCTTTTTTTGAGAAAAGCATGAAAAAACATACAGACAACGTTATGCGCTTTCTCGAAGGTGTCAGCTCACGGCTGTCCCAATTGGAATTATATTGCTATAACCTCGATAAGTCAATTGGAGAAATGCGATCTGATTTAGTTCGTGACCATGGAGAAGCAGACGCAAAGCTTAAATCTCTTGGGAAACATATTCAAGAGGTGAGTTCAGTTATAATTATACACATGCGTGTGTGTCGTGTGGCGGTTTTTGTTTTACTTGTTTTCTAGTAGATGTGAAATGCACAGCATTGATTAATGTTTCTTGTCATTTGATGGGACAGAATTATAATAGATAGTTTAGTCTCCAAAAGGGAAATTAATTTCCTTTGATGGCATTAGAGACTTGAAGTTTGCCCCATAACATTACCTCCAATATGCCAATCATGAATGAAGAATGCACTTTGATTTATTGACCTGCTTTTAGAGAATCAATAATTTTTGGTTGTGATCTTTTAGGACATATGCATGCTTTGTATCGGCTCTTTCTAGCTCTACCTTGACGAACTATGAAAATGCATGTGGTTAGTTGATTTGAGTTTGTTGTTCAAATAATGTCCCTGGGTTTGGTTTTTTTTTTTTTTATAGTTTCACTGTTCAATCCAAATGTTAGTTCTTGTTCCTTATGATTGAGTGAGAAGATAAGTTGAAGTGTTTGAGTATTACCCTTAAATTCTTGGTCTTTTCTTCTTGCATGATGCATGTCATGGTCATTAGCCTAGGTCAAGTAACTACCAAGATTGGGGATTTTGGGAGGGATCATCAGGTCAATCGTTGGCGCTTTACTAATTTACCCCAAAAACATGGTTTTGAATTTTTGTGGAAAGGACTAGAGGTATGCATGTGAATCGCCAATGAATCAATGTTTTAGTACTGAACAACCTTTAAGAAAAAATGAAGAAAGTAATAAAAACCATTGGTTTGTGAATCATACATGCCACATCAGTGCTTAGTACATTTAATGGAAATACGAGATACCATATAATTTTTCAATTTTCACTTAACATCACTTGTTCTAGTATTGAAAGATACTGAATTCTTAATATTTCCTTTTTAAATACTTGGCTGTATGAAATGTTTGTTGGCCACATTAAAGACTTCCAAGTTTTGGGGGAAAAAATTGACTTACCCAACTGAAAGGGCATTATGGGGTTGAGGAAAGGTTGATGAAGATTAAAGAAGGGAAATCAATCATGGGCTGATGTGGCACATGGATTAGAATTAGTTTTGCTTCCAAACAACTTCTTACGATGCACAATAATTAACCTGTAGTGGATGGGATTGCATATAATTCAAGTTATGGATGGGTGACAATTGAGATAATTCGAATGATAAGATTAGTATTGAAATCACACCAAAAAGTTGCTTTCCTTGTGTTTTGATTTGGATTGGGATAAGCACACAAATCCCAAGACAACTGGAGTCAAATGAAGAGAAAGGAGGCCATTTTGTGATTATCCTTTTTAGTGGGTGCAATTCTTATTTTGACTACATAAGTGAAGAATCAATGTCATAATGTTTTCTGTTCTTTAAATTGAAGTTTCTGTAGCCTTGATTAGAGAAGAATTGCAAGTTACAGTGGGAATGCAAGTTTCTTTCTGTTGAGCAATTGAATTATGGAAGTCTCTGTTTATTGTCGTGCTTAATTTCAATTAGTTTAGTTTCCTTGAGCTACTAGATGCAAGACAAGACCATAAGTTGTTTTGATTCTTGCTTCAGGTGCATAGGTCTGTCCAGATCCTAAGGGACAAACAAGAACTGGCTGAAACTCAAAAAGAATTGGCCAAGCTTCAGCTTGCGCAGAAGGAGTCTGCTTCTTCAAACCATTCCCAATCTGAGGAAAAAGCTTCATCTCCTGCTTCTGATCCCAAGAAAGCTGATAATTCCCCTGAAATGCACAACCAACAGTTGGCTCTTGCTCTGCCCCACCAGGTGGTGCCACAGCAACAGCCTGCACCTGTGCCTCCACCGACCCAAGCCCCACCTCAGAATGTGACCCAACAGCAATCTTATTATTTGCCATCAACCCAGTTACCAAATCCACCAGCCCAGACCCAACACCCTCAGAGTCAATATCTGTCGTCTGATCCTCAATATCGAACACACCAAATGCAAGACATCTCCAGAGTGGCACCGCAGCCAGCTCAGCCACAAATAAATCAAACACCAGTGGGCCAACAATTTACTCAGTATCAGCAGCAGTGGCCTCAGCAGTTACCTCAGCAGGTACAAGCACAACAACAGCCCCAGATCAGGCCTTCATCACCAACGGTTTATCCTCCTTCCTATCCACCGCCAGGCCAACCAGCAAATTCAGCTCCACCGGAGACAATGCCAAACAGCATGCCTATGCAAGTCTCATATGCAGCCGTTCCGCAACCTTTACCTAGTCGTGCTGAAATGCCATATGGATATGGAGCTGGTAGGCAAGTTCCTCAACAGCCTCCACCTCAGCAAATTAAGGCAACTTATGGAACACAAACAGGTGATGGTTATGCAACTGCTGGTCCGCCTGCACTTCCCCCAGGCAGTGCATACATGATGTATGATAGTAGTGAAGGTGGAAGAACACATCATCCACCTCAACCATCTCACTTTCCTCAGGCTGGGTATCCACCAGGGAGTCTGAGTCTCCAAAATTCTCAGCCAGCTGCAGGTGCCAATGTGTTGGCTCGCAATCCAAACCATTCACACCTTGTTCGCAACCATCCTTACAATGAGTTGATTGAGAAGCTGGTAAACATGGGTTTCAGGATGGATCACGTCATCGGTGTGATACAGAGGATGGAGGAGAGTGGTCAGCCCGTGGATTTCAATGCTGTACTTGATCGATTGAATGTGCATAATGGAAGTTCTCAGAGAGGATGGTCAGGGTGAAGCTGGTGAAGTTGATTTTAATCCATCAATTGTAATACCAACCATGCTTAAGTTTGTCTTGAATTTGAATAACAGGCTGTCATGATGCACAGTTTCCTCGAGTAGTTATGTATATCGTGTATTTTTTTAAGGTCAGAATGTGGTTAGTTCCTCCTTTCTGCTGAGTGTAATGGATTTCTTCCTGTGATTTTTAGGATGGGAGATTCCTGTTGCAATACTAACCTCTCTTTAAGGATCAAGGATTAGTGTGAAATTGGACTTGTGAAGTGGGGCATCTGAAGGCCTCCCTCAATAACATTTCCCTTTCATGGTCCCTAATATTGATTATGTGGATAATGTTCTGCTATCATTTAGATAATTAATATTTCAAGATATTGAGTATTTATAATTTTTCTTTAATCAACCTAATTTTAAATTGTAAATAATTAATCATATTAATTATTTTTCTTCATAGACAACTAAGTTTAAAATATTATTTAATCTCAATTCATTACTGTTTTTTTCTGGTGAAATTTATTGAAGGATGGATCAAGTCATGACATCAGGATTACTCATTATCTAATATGTGGTTAACCTAGTTTCACCTACCTAGTTGATCTTTCGTTTTAGAAGAAAGCATCTTAGTACGAAGTATTAAATCTTTTAGCTCATTTATTATATATGTTAAAATATTTAAATTTATAAAATTACGCATAATATGCAATTTATAAAATTATATTCATCTGTTGTCATCATTGTTCAATAATTTTCGCTAAAAGGCGATGAAATATCGCAATTATTGAACATAAAATCGTATAGATTTTGTATTTAATAAGTAAGATTTTATAGTTAAAGTGTTAAATAAATATCATTCTTTTAGTTGAAGGATTTAATTGTACAATCTAAAACTTGAAGGTGCTAATTTAACTTATTTTTAAAATTTGAGGTGTGAAGTGTAAAATTGAGGTTCAATTCAATCTAGCATCGAGTCTGTTACCATCACATTTTCAGTTTTGATGCATGAATTTAATTGGATTTCAACAATTTTTGATTTACGTGGAAGACATGTGATGTGACAACCTTTTCCTTTCCTGTAAAGCAAGCGACAAGACTGCTTCTTTTGTGGCTTTTCTGGCTAATCTCCACTTTTTTTTTTTTTTTTTTAACCTTTCCTTTCCTGTAAAGCAAGCGACAAGACTGCTTCTTTTGTTGCTTTTCTGGCTAGTCTTTTTTTTTTTTTTTTTTTTCAAATACAGTTTTCACTTTTCTAATGTTTCCATAATGTTACTTATCACATTGTTTTATTATTTTCTTTTAGATTGTTATATAACTTAATAAAATAAATTTAAAAAAATTATAGAGAACAACAATTATGAAACTCTCAGAACGAGATTACTCTCATATTTTAAAATAATATAAAATATTTATGAAAAATTAAATATGTTAGACAATATTATATACATTTTATCTGAAATTAAATTTATTTTTCTGTATAAAACAATTTCTTGAAAAATGTCTCTATTTATTTAAAAAATCTTGGAAATGTCTAACTAAGTAAACATCAAAGAAGCTTCTCTTGAATTTCTTGTTTGCCTTTTCATAAAAGAAATTAAATTAATCATTAAGCTTTCTATAGCCCTACCATATAAAAGAAATTACAATTAGATAAAAATTTCACAAAAATGTAGAGTTTAAATCATCCACAATTAATTTAACAAATTTACTTTCAATGGGTAAAAATTAATATTTTCCCTTTCTATTAATTATATTTTCAACTTCTTTAAATATTATCTAAATTATATGAATATGAAAAAAATAATTTAATCAATTTTATAATTTATTTTGTACTTGAGTGATTTAATTATTTTTTAAAAACCGTTAAATTTAATGGAATGAAAAAAAAAATATTAATATCTTTCCGTTCAGAACATGTCAAATTAAATCTGAACCATCCATCCAAGTGGTGGGAAAACCGACGATTGTTGGGGCCCATAGTCGTGGCCACATGGCCGAAATTCAAAATGGAAAGCTCCCATTAGAAAATGCCGCGTTTGACTAAAGCGTAAACGGAGAAGGTAACGTAGATCTGCAAATAGCAAATATAAATGAATTTTCCTTTTCGTTTTTTAAAATTTGGCTAGTGGAAGCCAATCAGCTACTATAGCCACGGTTCGGTTTGAATCAGAATCGAATCATGTTATACATCATCAAAATATTTTTAATAATTTATTTAATTAATAATATTTAGATAAAATAAATTTATAATTTATTTATATATTTATTTTTTTTAAGTTAATGAGTTTTATTTCATATGTACATATTGGAATTTTCAAAGTTATTTAAAATAAAATAGAATAGGTGACGATGATGAGTGGGACAGACACAACGTTCTCTTTTTTTAAGAAAGGAGAAATATTCAAACTACGAAAGCGAAACCCGGAAAATTACAATTTGCGGTTGCAACTTGGAAACTCAAGAGTGGAAGCTCTCTTTTACGTTTCACCCACTATTATTTTTTTTCACTTCAACCCCCAAACTATTTCCATATATCACAAAAGACACCCTTTCTTTGCTTTTTTTTTTTTTTTAATTTTTGTTTTCCCAAATGCTGAATTTTAAATTCTAAATTTTTAATTGAACATATTTAGTTAATACTTAATATTTCTATGATTTGATATTATAAAACCAAGAAATTAAAACATTAATATTTTTTAAACAAATGATATTTTCATTAGTAATTTATTCAGATACTCTCTGTTTAGTAGAAATATTATTTTTATCTATAATAAAAAGAGTGTGAGAATATTCAAATATTCATTGAAAAATTATAATAAAAAGTAACAATTATTTTTATCTATAATTCATATTAAAAATTTACAAGGAAATATAAATATAATTAAGACAGTTAAAAATTGGATAAAATAAATATTTTTTTATATTTTTTTACCACATATCAACTATATAAAGGGGCAACTCACCTCCTTTCACTCCTAGCAAAACATGTAAAAAAGACTGAGCAAATAAAAAACAATATCTAGACAAATATTCCACGCTACAGAACTTATTTTCCTGTAAAAGAATTAGATACAGAAAGGATCAGAAATTACAAATTGATACATTACTATTACACTAATATCACATTTAGCCCAATATTCAGTTAAAATCAACTTTACAGCCCAATGAAAGTGTGAAGAAAGAAACTGATTCCGTTTCTCTGCAAACGCGCTTGAATCCTCATTTTCCTTATCAGATCCTTTCTCTTCTTTCTATTTCTGTTTCTACGCTTTCCCCTTTCCACTTCTCCTTCTCTCTTTCTCTTTCACTACAGAACCCCTCGGAAAGTCCGTACTGACGCCTCGGCGGTCCACATGCTATGTCCGCCCTCCGCCATCGTACGCCACCTGGATCAACCCGGTCTAACCGGGTACAAGAACCAGAAGAGGAGGCTTACAACATTATTCCCATTCACAACCTGTTAGCTGACCATCCTTCACTCCGTTACCCCGAGGTACGAGCCGCTGCTGCTGCTTTGCGTACTGTTGGGAATCTCCGGAAGCCGCCTTATGCTCAATGGCATCCTTCTATGGACTTGTTGGACTGGTTGGCTCTTTTCTTTGGATTTCAAAAAGATAATGTTCGAAATCAGAGAGAGCATATAGTTCTTCACCTTGCTAATGCTCAGATGCGGCTCACTCCACCTCCTGATAACATCGACACTCTTGATGCCACCGTGCTTCGGAGATTTCGCCGGAAATTGCTCAAAAATTATACAAACTGGTGCTCGTACCTTAATAAGAAATCCAACATTTGGATCTCTGACCGGTCAAATCCTGATCTCCGCCGGGAGCTGTTGTATATCTCTCTTTATCTCTTAATCTGGGGAGAGTCGGCCAATCTCCGGTTCATGCCGGAGTGTATTTGTTACATTTTTCACAATATGGCCATGGAATTGAACAAGATACTTGAAGATTATATTGATGAGAACACAGGGCAGCCGGTGATGCCTTCTTTTTCCGGTGAGAATGCGTTTCTTAACTGTGTCGTTAAGCCGATTTATGAAACTATTAGAGCCGAGGTAGAGAGTAGTAAAAATGGAACAGCGCCTCATAGTGCTTGGAGGAATTATGATGATTTGAATGAGTATTTTTGGAGTAAAAGGTGTTTTGCTAAATTGAAGTGGCCACTTGATGTTGGAAGCAATTTTTTCGTGATATCCAGTACGCAGAAGCATGTAGGGAAGACAGGGTTTGTAGAGCAAAGGTCCTTTTGGAACTTGTTAAGGAGTTTTGATAGATTATGGGTGATGTTGATAATGTTTCTACAGGCTGCGATTATTGTTGCCTGGGAAGAGAAGACTTATCCATGGCAGGCATTGAAAGATAGAGATGTTCAGGTTCGGGTTTTGACTGTGTTTTTCACCTGGAGTGGTTTGAGGCTCTTGCAGTCTTTGCTTGATGCAGGTACGCAGTATAGTTTGGTTTCTAGGGAGACTATGGGGCTTGGGGTTAGAATGGTATTGAAAAGTGTAGTTTCTGCTGGGTGGATTGTTATATTTGGGGTATTCTATGGAAGGATTTGGACTCAGAGGAACAGTGATGATAGGTGGTCTCCTGAGGCTAATAGGAGGGTTGTTAATTTTCTTGAGGTGGCATTTGTGTTTGTGTTGCCTGAGTTGTTGGCTTTGGCTTTTTTTATAATCCCATGGATTAGGAATTTCCTTGAGAATACGAATTGGAGGATTTTTTATTTGTTGTCATGGTGGTTTCAAAGTAGGAGTTTTGTTGGTCGTGCATTGAGGGAGGGGCTTGTTGATAATATCAAGTATACTTTATTTTGGGTTGTGGTTTTGGCTACCAAATTTGCTTTCAGTTACTTTCTGCAGATTAAACCCATGATTAGGCCATCAAAACTGTTGGTGAATCTTAAAACTGTGGAATATGAATGGCACGAGTTTTTCAAAAATAGCAATAGGTTTGCAGTAGTGTTGTTGTGGCTTCCTGTGGTATTTGTTTATGTTATGGACTTGCAGATTTGGTACTCAATTTATTCCTCTTTTGTGGGTGCGGCAGTAGGCTTATTTGAACATTTGGGTGAAATTCGAAACATCCAGCAGCTAAGGTTGAGGTTTCAGTTCTTTGCAAGTGCAATTCAATTTAATCTCATGCCAGAGGAGCAGCTGTTAAATGCTCGGGGGACTCTGAAGAGCAAGTTCAAGGATGCCATTCATCGGTTGAAGTTGAGGTATGGGCTTGGCCAGCCCTATAGTAAGCTGGAGTCTAACCAGGTCGAGGCAAACAAATTTGCTTTGATCTGGAATGAAATTATAATGACTTTCAGGGAAGAGGATATTATCTCTGATCGGGAGCTCGAGTTGTTGGAACTACCACAAAATTCTTGGAATGTAAGAGTTATTCGATGGCCCTGTTTTCTTCTCTGCAATGAATTACTGCTTGCTCTCAGCCAGGCCAAAGAGTTGATAGATGCTCCTGACAAGTGGCTCTGGTACAAAATATGCAAGAATGAGTACAGGCGCTGTGCTGTTATAGAAGCTTATGACAGTGTCAAGCACTTGTTGCTTGAGATCCTCAAGATAAACACCGAAGAACATTCAATTATTACAGTCTTGTTTCAGGAAATTGATCACTCACTGCAGATTGAGAAGTTTACTAAGACTTTCAACATGATTGCTCTTCCTCATTTCCATACCAAGTTGATAAAACTTGTTGAGCTGTTGAAAAAGCCTCACAAAGATCTTAACCAGGTGGTGAATACCCTGCAAGCTCTGTATGAGATTGCTGTGCGAGATTTTTTCAAAGAGAAGAGGAGCACAGAACAGTTGAGGGAGGATGGGTTGGCTCCTCATGATCCTGCTGCCATGGCAGGGCTGCTTTTCCAGAATGCAGTTAAATTGCCTGATGACAGTAATGAAACCTTCTATCGGCAGGTACGGCGGTTGCACACAATTCTTACCTCTAGGGATTCAATGAACAATATTCCCAAAAATCTTGAGGCCAGACGTAGAATTGCTTTTTTTAGTAATTCCTTGTTTATGAACATCCCTCATGCTCCCCAAGTTGAGAAAATGATGGCCTTTAGTGTCCTGACCCCGTACTACAATGAAGAAGTGCTGTACACCAGAGAACAACTTCGAGCGGAGAATGAAGATGGGATTTCCATATTATACTATTTGCAAACAATTTATGATGATGAATGGAAGAATTTTATTGAAAGGATGCGCAAAGAAGGAATGGTGAAAGAACATGAGATATGGACAACCAAGTTGAAGGAGCTTAGGCTATGGGCATCTTACAGAGGCCAAACATTGTCTCGTACAGTAAGAGGAATGATGTATTATTATCGAGCTCTTAAGATGCTGGCTTTTCTTGATTCTGCTTCAGAGGTGGACATCAGGGAGGGTTCACGAGAACTTGGACCAATGAGGCAAGACGGTGGTTCGGGTAGCTTCAATTCTGAGAACCCTTCTGCCAATGGATTAAGTAGAAATAGTAGTTCAGTCAGTTTGTTGTTTAAAGGCCACGAGTATGGCACTGCTTTGATGAAATACACATATGTGGTTGCCTGCCAGATATACGGGACTCAAAAGGCAAAGAAGGACCCACATGCTGAGGATATACTCGATTTGATGAAGAATAATGAGGCTCTTCGAGTTGCATATGTTGATGAGGTGAACACTGGGAGGGATGAGAAGGAATATTACTCAGTGCTTGTGAAGTACGATCAGCAATTGGAGAAAGAAGTTGAAATCTACAGGGTCAAGTTGCCAGGCCCCTTGAAACTTGGAGAGGGAAAACCGGAGAATCAAAATCATGCTATCATCTTTACACGTGGTGATGCTGTGCAGACTATTGATATGAACCAGGATAACTATTTTGAGGAGGCACTCAAAATGCGAAATCTCTTGGAAGAATACAGGCACTACTATGGGATTCGGAAGCCTACTATCTTGGGAGTCAGGGAACATATATTTACTGGTTCTGTCTCATCACTGGCATGGTTTATGTCGGCACAGGAGACGAGCTTTGTCACCTTGGGACAGCGTGTTTTGGCAAATCCTTTGAAAGTTCGAATGCATTATGGCCATCCAGATGTCTTTGACAGGTTGTGGTTCTTGACTCGTGGTGGCATCAGTAAAGCTTCCAGGGTGATTAATATTAGTGAAGACATTTTTGCTGGTTTTAACTGCACCTTGCGAGGAGGCAATGTCACTCACCATGAATACATCCAAGTTGGCAAGGGAAGGGATGTTGGCTTTAATCAGGTTTCAATGTTCGAAGCCAAGGTTTCCAGTGGAAATGGAGAGCAAGTTCTCAGCAGAGATGTTTATAGGTTAGGCCACAGGCTGGACTTCTTCCGGATGCTATCATTCTTTTATACTACTGTGGGATTCTATTTCAATACAATGATGGTCATTCTGACTGTGTATGCATTTCTATGGGGCCGGCTTTATTTGGCTCTTAGTGGTGTTGAGGCTTCTGCTTTGGCTAACAGCAGCAACAATAAAGCACTTGGTGCTATTCTGAATCAGCAATTCATAATCCAGCTTGGTCTTTTCACTGCTCTTCCGATGATAGTAGAAAACTCTCTCGAGCATGGATTCCTCCAAGCCATCTGGGATTTCTTGACAATGCAACTTCAGCTCTCATCTATTTTCTACACATTCTCCATGGGCACTAAGACTCACTTCTTTGGTCGAACTATCCTTCATGGTGGTGCAAAGTATCGCGCAACTGGGCGTGGTTTTGTTGTGCAGCACAAGAGTTTTGCAGAGAATTATAGGCTCTACGCTCGTAGCCATTTTGTGAAGGCGATTGAACTAGGGCTGATACTAACTGTTTATGCCTCACATAGTGTTATAGCTAAGGATACATTTGTTTACATAGCCATGACTATCTTTAGTTGGTTCCTGGTTGTGTCATGGATAATGGCTCCATTTGTTTTCAATCCATCTGGTTTTGATTGGTTGAAAACAGTGTATGATTTTGATGATTTTATGAACTGGATTTGGTATAAAGGTGGTGTGTTTGCAAAAGCTGAACAGAGCTGGGAAAGATGGTGGTATGAGGAACAGGATCACTTGAGGACCACTGGACTTTGGGGAAAATTACTGGAGATAGTTTTGGACCTTCGCTTCTTCTTTTTTCAATATGGCATTGTCTACCAGCTAGGCATTGCTGCTGGCAGTACCAGCATTGCCGTTTACTTGTTGTCTTGGATTTATGTTGTTGTTGCCTTTTCAGTTTCTTGGCTGATAGCATATGCTAGGGACAAGTATGCAGCAAGAGAACATATCTACTATCGCCTGGTCCAGTTTCTTGTGATTATACTTGCAATAGTTGTGGTAGTAGCGTTGCTTGAGTTCACATCTTTCAAATTTGTGGATATATTCACCAGTTTGTTGGCTTTTATCCCTACTGGATGGGGCATGTTGTTGATTGCCCAAGTACTCCGCCCCTTTCTCCAGTCCACTGTACTTTGGGGATCAGTGGTGTCTGTGGCCCGGATGTATGATATAATGTTCGGAGTGATTGTTATGGCTCCTGTGGCATTTCTGTCGTGGATGCCTGGGTTTCAATCAATGCAGACACGAATCCTATTCAATGATGCATTTAGTAGGGGCCTCAGGATATTCCAGATTGTCACAGGGAAAAAATCTAAGGGTGATTTGTGATTTGAGGTAATTCACTCTGAACTTTTTCTTATTATAGAGAAACTTCTTAGTACGTTGCTTATTCTCAAGTTCACTAAAGAAAGCTGATTAATTACACTGAAATATGCTATCGGATGTAAGTTTTGCAATCATGACGAGGTTTAGTTATATTATTTGAAATGGAGTGGTCTGCTAAATTTTTTGACGGACATGCTCCTGATGTAGATCCTTGCACAATTAATTTACAAGTTCTATTCATATCCACTTGATATTTGTATGATTTTTAATCCTAACTTTTCATCTTGGAGATAGGCAGGGATTATATGGAGTTCAGCTGTAATCCATGCTTCCTGAGCTGTTTCTAGCATTAGTTGCATCTTTAGTTTCTACCCTATATGGATTTTTCTCCTGTGTGAAAACGTTGGTGTTGATTTACTTGTAAATTACAGTATAGGATTAAAAATCCCAAATTGATCATTGGTGTGCTGGGTCCTCTATTACTCTTTTGTCTAGGTTTTTCATCTCTCAAGTGACACTATCTTAATGTATTAGCTTGGATGGCCTGGACACATGAAAACTTGGTGCCTAGCTTTGGTTGCTGAAAAGTGCATAGGAAGTAAAAGTTCACTAAATTTTCACTGCATTAATTATTTCAGTTTTCACGGTAGATGCACTTGGACTTTCATGAGGAGAGTATAAATCTTACTCTGGACTTAAATTCTCCTATGCTGATGAGAAGAAATTGGAATTTCATTTGAAATTTCTTCAAGTCCAATGGCGATAAGAATGGCATACTTTAATCTTGAAAATTTCTGTTGTACTGTGGCATGATAAGGAAACAGACCTGAATAGATTTGCTAGCTTTGTGTATTCATGCAGTGATGCTAATTTAGCCTTCGGTTACTATTTATCTGTCTCTACACTCACTTTGTTACTAAGAAGATTGAGTTATGCTTTGCAGCTTTGAAGTTGTGATGCGGTGTAAGAAAATGAGCAGAATTTTCTTTCAATATGGCTTGTGAGTCCGACATAGAGTCGATAAAAACTTCTGCAGGGAGGTGAAGATTCAGTTTGCTTCTTGATTCTGATATCCATCTTTCATTACTGTTGTAATTATCAGATCTCTCATTGATGTTCATTTATTATTTTGGGGGGAGCTTTTGGTTATACGTGCTTTTATCTTCCCTTCGCATTTTTTAAAGTACAGCTCTTAACAACGCATAGTGTCTATACTGAGGTTAGTGTGGTAGTCTGAGATTTGGTAGAATATTTGTAATTCTTTTGCCAGATATGCACCTTTTTTCTTCACTAGCGTAGTTCTAGTTTTGAGTTCATAAATTTGACTCTAGTCAATAACCATCTTATTTTAATACTAAAACATGTTGGTAGATGAGTAGATCCATCGTGCCACGTGGTTGCATCCAGACCATGTATTGCAGTTGACTGCATTAAGGGCCCACATGATGGATAATACTAATCAAAGGTTATCTTATCTTAAGAAACGGATATTGTGCCATTAAAATTAAGTTCAGTCCAATTAATTAGAGACATTTGTGATCTACCCAAAAAAAAAAAATCAAAATGTTTTCCATCGAACATGTGTTGAAGATTTGTTTATTAATTTTAAATATCGATCAATATATACTAATTTCTTATAATTTGATGATTAGATACATGTTTTTTACACTGCAAATTCACGTATTCATTTTGACGAATCCCAACAAAAAATTCTAATTCCTCTGTTAATGCTTATTTTTTACTTGGGGAATTGATAAAAAGACAAGGAAAGCCGAATCCAGAACCTCACAATTTAAAACTTATCAAGCTTGAAATTTAATTAGTTCAGTTTGTTGATAAATTGAGCTCAAAAGCTTGCGAGCCAATTAAATGGTGATTTATACCTCTATGAAGTAAGGGTGGCCACGGTTCCGGAACCGGCGGTTTCGGTTCCAAAAAATTTGGAACCAGAATCGAACCGAAAATTTTCGGTTCCAGTTCGTCGACGGTTTCAAAACCGACGGTTCCGATCAGTTTCCAGCAAATCGCATAATTTTAAATTTTAAATTTTGAAGACCGGTTTTCAAAATTTTAAAAATTTGTGAAAGTTATTTCTAAAAAAAATACACCTAAAACCGAAAATTTCGTTCAGTTCGTGCGACGGTCAAAACCGACGGTTCGATCAGTTTTCCAGCAAATCGCATAATTTATTAAAATTTTAAATTTTGAAGAACAAAATTTTAAAAATTTGTGAAAGTTATTTCTAAAAAAAATACACCTAAAAAATTAAAAAATGCTTCAATTAAATTTATTTTTTTAAAGACTTGAACTTATTTTTTTTTTTTAAAAAAAAAGTCTTCAATTGAATTTATTTTTTTGTTTACAACAAAATTTAAAAAAAAAAACTGACAGTTTCTAACGGCTAGAACCCCCGGTTCGAATCGGCAGTTCTAACTGGTCGGAGAACCGGCGGTTCCATCTGGTTCCGATCGGTTTGTGGAACCGCCGATTTGCGGTTCCAACAAAACTGGAACCGGAACCGAATCAGAAATCTCTGGTTTCGATTCCGGTTCGGACCAATTCTAGTTTCCACTGGTTCCGGTTACAGTTCGGGACCGGTTCAAACCACCGATTTCGATTCCCAAAACTGTAATATGGCCACCCCTACTATGAAGTGATTCGTTTGTTAATGAACATGTAAAATCCAATCAATGAGACAATTAAATGGTATCTATTCACATCAGGGAATAGTCTCTTTTTCTGACGCTAACTGTAGGGCACTCATCACCACCACGTGTAACAGAGCGTACGAAGGAGCAACAAAATTACGTACAATTGGTATACAACGCATACAATTTGTATACCAATTTAATGATTAAAAAAAAATATAAGAGTTCAATTATTTGGAGTTAAAATATTTTAAATATAAAAAGCAATTTTAATAAAAAAAAGTAATATTTCATATTTGTTAAAGTAACATGTTAGGATAGTAACCCGCGATATGTAAGTTTATGAAGAATTCTATATTTGGTACATAATTTTTTTATTTCTGTACACTAGTAAAAAGCATTTCGAATTCTTTCATATTTTGTTGAAAAGATATTTCCGAGAAGAAAAATTTAATGTATTATTTGATTCTACCATTTATGAAACGTAAAGTTTAATTCTTATCCTACCATCAATCAAAAATATAAATTAAATTTTATATTAAAGCAAACTTTAAAAAGACTAGAATATTTTAGATCAGTCATGTACATCCGTACGAAGGCTCCAATATCAAACAAAAAGAGTTTTTTGTAATCACAAAAAAAAAAAAAAAAAAAAAAAAAAAAAAAAAAAAAAAAAAGTTTTTTGTAATACAAATAAAAAAAAATAAAAAAAAAAAAAAAAAAAAAAAAAAAAAGAAAAAAATACAAAAACAAAGAACTATGCAAGAGTAAGCCCACAATAAAACCTAACTCATTGAAGCTGATTCATGGCCCAACCTGTTTCTACAAGCCCAATTAAGCAGCCTAATAAATTGATTCATTTCCCCTTTTCTATCCAACCAAACACAAGGAAAAGCAAAAGCGAAAGCAATCGCCTTCATAGCCTTCACAGGTTTGGCGTTTCTTATCTCAAATTTGACAAGTTTTGAGTTCTAAGGTTGTTTTTGATTCATTGAAATTTCATGTTTTATTTTGTTGCTAAGGATTATCAAATCTCTCGATACTATTGCAGCAGAGGTTATAGATACTATTGCAAAATTTGGTTTAGAGATCTTGCTATAAGAAATGTATGCATTAATGCAGTTAGGTTAGTGATTCTGTTTGTAATCATTTATAACTGATAAAAGTTTTCCAGGATTGTGCAAATTAAAGGTTAGAAGAATGAAGAAGTTTTTAAATGATTGCTTACAAGCTTGCCACCAATTTTTTAAGTTCTGATGCGTAAATTTGCTCCTGTTTAAAGCTTACTCGAAGAACCATTTCTAAAGTTTTCATCCATATTTTGCTCTCTGGCAATGAAAGAGAGTAGAATGATTGAGATTTTAGTGAAACAGCTGCTTGCATTTACCAAAAATGAGGATTTACAAGGTTTAAAAAAGAGCATAGGTGCAGAATAGGAAAAGCGAAAAGGAAAAGATAATGAATACATGAAGTTGAAGACACTTAGCATAAGCAAATTGTTATGCACTAATGAAAAAATAGAATCACGTAAAAATTTAGGTGTCCATTGCAAAACTAGGAAATACACATTCAAGAAAATAAAAATTTGATAGAATTGTGTTTCAGAAAAAGTGTAAATTGAGTTTTCTATTAAAATGTTAAAATTTAAAGAAATATCTTTCTCAATTATAGTTCTGGATGCTTGAGGAAGAAATGCAGGGTACTCATTTGCACCATGAGACAATACACAGAAGCGATATGGAATTGTACACATATCTTCAGTCCATAATTACAATAGCCAAATCTCCTCGTTTTTTCATTGTGCCACAGCTAAGATGAAAAAAGTAGAATCACCAAGTAATAAATTATAGGTGGTACCTAGATAATAATTGTAGAAATGAGCTTAGGAACTTTACCAGAAGCTATAAGCCATATGAATAAACTCACACAAAGAGATGAGTGCAATATAAGATTATTGACTCTTATTCCAGAAAAAGTGCTGTAAATTAAGAAGTTTGGTCTGAGTTGACAAATGTTCATTGTAAGCAATCATTATAAAAAACTTCTTCATAATTCTTCTGAAACCTTAATAATATTATGCACAATCCAGAAAACTTTATTATTCAGTTATAAATGAATTACAACGAAATAAATTATACATAGTGTAAATTGAGTTTTCTATTAAAATGTTAAAATTTAAAGAAATATCTTTCTCAATTATAGTTCTGGATGCTTGAGGAAGAAATGCAGGGTACTCATTTGCACCATAAGCTTTGCAATTCTATGCAAATTGTGTAATCATATTAGGTTAGAAAAGGTACAGGTATATTGCAGCAGAGGTTATAGATACCGTTGAAAAATCTGTTTTCAAGATCTTGCTATAAATGTATGCATTAATGCAGTTAGGTTACCAATTCTGTTTTAATCCTTTGTAACTGATAAAAGTTTTCCAGGTTTGTACTAGTTAAAGGTTAGAAGAATGAAGAAATTGTTAAATGATTTGCTTGATTGTTTACAAGCTTGCCACCAATTTTTTAAGTTCTGATGTGTAAGTTTGCTCCTGTTTAAATGTTTAAAGCTTACTTGAAGAACCATTTCTAAAGCTTTCATCTATATTTTGCTCTCTGGTAATGAAAGAGAGCAGAATGATTGAGATTTTAGTGAAACAGCTGTTAGCATTCACCAAAAATGAGGATTTACAAGGTTTAAAAATGAGTATAGGTGCAGAATAGGAAAAGGGAAAATGAAAAGATAATGAATATATGAAGTTGAAGACACTTATCATAAGCAAATTGTTATGCGCTAATGAAAAAACAGAGTCACATAAAAATTTAGGTGTCCATTGCAGAACTAGGAAATACACATTTAAGAAAATAAAAATTTGATAGAAGAAAATAAAAATTTGATAGAATTGTGTTTCAGAAAAAGTGTAAATTGAGTTTTCCATTAAAATGTTAAAATTTGAAGAAATATATTTCTCAATCATAGTTCTGGATGCTTGAGGAAGAAATGCAGGGTACTCATTTGCACCATAAGCTTTGCAATTCTATGCGAACTGTGTAATCATATTAGGTTAGAAAAGGTACAGCTAGATTGCAGCAGAGGTTATAGATACTGTTGCAAAATCTGTTTTCAAGATCTTGCTATAAGAAATATATGCATTAATGCAGTTAGGTTATCGATTCTGTTTTAATCCTTTGTAACTGATAAAAGTTTTCCAGGATTGTGCCAATTAAAGGTTAGAAGAATGAAGAAATTGTTAAATGATTTGCTTGATTGCTTACAAGCTTGCCATCAATTTTTTAAGTTCTGATGTGTAAGTTTGCTCCTGTTTAAAGCTTACTTGAAGAACCATTTCTAAAGCTTTCGTCCATATTTTGTTTTCTTTTCGTCCACAGAAAAGAAAACAAAATAGAGAGTGTGACGGCTGCCTCAAACACTGACGGCTGCCTCAAACACATACGGTGATAGCTTGTTTGAGAGAGCTCATAAAAGAAACTCCCGTAGCTGTTGATTATTCTCTGACCATTGAGAGAAAATTTACGGACAAAAGGCCAGAGGAAGAAACGTAGATCTGCTGTTACGTTGAGAATCGAATTGCCGCAACGAGGTAACCCATAACATAGATCTGTTGTTACGGATCAAGGTACGCTTCCGATTATTGTA